GAACTAATTTACAATATCATTTAAATTCAAAGAGCATATGTAAATTAATTACACACTAATCTAAAATCATGAAAAAACATATTATTCCAAAAAATTAAATTTATTATTACAAAAAATAATTGCATAAGTGTATAATTGTTGAGCTGGCAGGAGACAGACTTATCAAGGGGAAGTTGCCCCCAACCTAGCTCTTCAATTACTCAATTCGTGTTTCGTCATCATTATAGGCAAGGGTAAAAACTAAAATTCAAAACCAAAAGTGAAACCAATTGTTGTGAACGACTAAAAAAGAAATTTAAACAGTGGAATTTTGAGAAAAAAAAAGTAAAAGACTGGAGTTAGAATTAATTAAAAGTAAATTAAATGTAGAAAACCTAATGTTATGATGGGGAAGTTTCCAATAGGAAAGAGTTTCTAAATTACTTTGGTTTTCTACATTTAATGGACTTTTAATTAATTTTAACTCTAATCTTTTACTTTTGGTTTTGAATTACTTTTACCCTTGCCTATATGGATGACGAAACACGAATTGAGTAATTGAAGAGCTAGGTTGGAGACAACTTCCCCTTGGTACGTCTGTCTCCTGCCTGCTCAACAATTATTCACTTATGCAATCATTTTTTTGGAATCTTTTTGGAATAGTATGTTTTTCATGGTTGAGACGTACACTAATTACATATGCTCGTGAATTAAATGATTATGTAAATTAGTTTGCAGCAATAAAATTATTTTTTATTTTTTTTGCAATTAAATGATTATTTAAATTTATTAACTAATATAATATTCTATGCACTGTATATAATATTAATTCTATATAGTCGTAGCACGGTGGTGAATGTATGCACACGCGAATTTTGATGTCGTAGATGTGAAGCGCGATCCACAATGAATAAGAAAATTTGGCACCAAGGTAATATTTAATTCAATTTTATTTTAGTAAACAGGTGAGGCCACAATTTACATTTGGATAAATTGAGAGTAGAAGAAGATCAGACAACTGCAGTAAGCGGGACGCGTAGTAAAGGCAAGTGCGTTGTTGAGAGAACTCTAATTCGACTGAGTAGTTTTGTTCTCATGCATTTTTATTGGATAGTTAATACTGTATAAATTATATGGCGTTTGAATTTCGAAATGACGTGGTTGCAAATAGAGGGTTATATTTTAGAATAGAGAAGGAAATTTACACTGATATTTAACCTTTTAATATCTTTATTTTTCTACATAGTTTTATCTTCACATTATGCTCTTCAAAGAAAAAGCGGAGCGATCGAGGACGCCTTTGAGAGAAAAAGCATTAGAACAGATACGTATGAGAGATATAATTTTGAAATGCAAAATAAAATAACCTTAACAATTGAAAAAAAAAATGATAGTCGTAAAATTTTGAATCAATAATAATTTTAAGCATATATTCTTTCAAAATAATTGCGATTTTAGAGTACATTAAGATTTGAGTCCAGTTGTAAACAGTCTTGTTCTGGACATTCACATCACAATTTTGATACTTAGTGAAGGATTTCAAATTTTTTGCGTACAGTATCACAATTCTAAAAATTTTATGCCTAAATTTACGAATAATCAAAACTTTACAAATGTTTTCACTATGTAATTTCAATTTCTATAATCTTTTTTTTATTTGTAATGTCATATGAAATTATTTTTTTTTTAATGTTAATTTTAATTTTCTATTTACACAAAACTGGAAGACCCCACAGCTTTCTCTAGTACAACGATGGACATAACCACTTTAACGAGCTCGTGTACTAAATTTTCGTGAGTGGTTAAAGATTGCTTTGACAGTTACTTATAAAGGCCTCCGTTCCTTGTTTAAAGGCAACTAGCCTTTTGAACTGCGTTACAATATTCCATTATATTTTTAAAAAATCACACTACATTATAAAAAATAAAAATCCTAAATAAAAAATTAAATAAAATGGGAGCCTTCAAAGTTTGATAGGAAGGGGAAAGGAACAATTATGCAGAGGAAAACAGCCTGTTTCGAACCAGTATTCCCTCATATACTTTATGTTAACATACAATTATTGATAATTATAGTATTCATTTACCATAACTCCACAATTTTAATACTTTTACTCTAATTAAAATTCTCTATAATTTTATTACGATTATTAGTTTCTTAAATCTTTGATATTTCTACATTAATTTTAATAATATTTAATTCTCCCATTTAATAATTATTTCATATACGCATCATTCTCAAAATAAAAAGAAAATTATTTAAATTCAAATTTTTGCACACACACACACAGACCAAAAAAAAAAAAAAAAAAACCCTCAAAAGCAAACGGTCACACGGTGATAGCTAATGTTATCGTCTACCATCGAGATTATAATGAGGTTTGAGATTATGCTGTTTTTATAAAGCGAGAGCCAACACCTTTTAAACTAACATTTTAAATGCATTGGAAATTAAAGTTTTACAGACGTTACAATACAGTACAACGTCACAATCTGCAACTGCGCACTGCTACATTTCCGAAAGGTGAATATGTAGATTAGAATCGTCGCGCATCAATTGCGGACATCTTTGGGCATACAGGCGACAATTTATATTATCTGTGTGAACCAAATATCGTTTCTTACTAATTAACTAATGCTCTAAATTTTTCTAATTGGAAATTTTGCTCTATCTGTTTTCATTTTCGATTTGCAAGGTCTTTCTTACAAATTTCGCCACTAGGGGCGCAGCTGTCATTTGCATTAAATTGGGCGCAGTCGCTTTACTATCATGGAAAAAATAAGCGGAAAATAAAAGTCCATGTTTACTATATCGTTACGTCACTTGCCACTTATATCATGGCCACTTATATCGTTACGTCACTCTATATATAATTGCACATGGTTCAAAATAGCTACTAGCTGCACTATTGATATAAATTGAGTATTTCAGCCTGTCCGCATTCGTGCATTTTAATGTTTAATAGTTAATCTAAAATAGCATATTTTAAATTATGAAATTAGGCTTTAAAATGCTCATTTCTGTAATGCCTGTAGTAAACAAACATTTTTCCTTCAAAAGATGTACATTTATATTCGGCTCTGGTGGACAACTGGAACGGTTCACACCGTCGGATGCCGACCGACTTGTAACGTCCGTCATAGAGCCGATGGCCTGCGACGGCCTAAGGACCATCGGCATAGCCTACAAAGATTTCGTGATCGGGGATGAAGCCCACATCAATCAAGAGAGGTGCGATGGGGAGCCGAACTGGGACGATGAACAAAACATAGTGCAAAATCTTACAGCCATCTGCATCGTCGGTATAGAAGATCCTGTCAGGCCTGAGGTAAGCATATTTTTTCTATTCAATTTGTCTTATTGATGAATCAAATAAGTTTAAATTAGTAATAAACTGGAATATAATTTTCAGTTCGTAGGATTATCTTACATATTTTAATAAATTACATATTTACATCAGATTATCTTACATATTTTAATAAAACATGTTGCATAAAACAATTTTAGGCGAATAAACAACTCGAAAATTAAATTTCTGTAAAATACGTGCAGTTATATAGATAATTGATGGAAGGAAAGGAATGATTGTTTGACTTCTAAATTAATGCATGTTCGGCGGGTTATTTTATCTTAATTGTGTTATTATGTTATTATTTATTATTAAATCGAATTATCGCCAAATCGGAACGAATTGCAATATCATCCACCACCTTTCAGTTCGAGCGCTACTTGCAGAGTTATTAGACTTTTTTTATGCTGGGATGTGAAGAATGTGCTGCTTTTGCCGAGATTCAAACTCCGGACCTCTTGAACTTGCGTCGAGTGCGTGCTTCCAGTTACATCACGAAGGAATGAGGGAAGGAGGGAGAAAATACTTTATAATTGATTATAGATCTGGGTAAACTATAATTGAAATAGGAATACTGTAGCATCAAAGCAAAGAACATATAGAAGACAGTAGTCTATAATCTTTAACAAATGTCAAATTTAAGAAAAAAGATATTGAAAACAAGCATTTTCTGGAAACAAAGTAAATATTCCTACGTGAAACACGTAATTGGTTTTCAGGCTGTAACCACAAAATTTGTCTCGATAATCGTAATATTATCTAAGTAATACTGTAATCATATCTCAGGGCCCTCTTGCGACGGCCCTGAGATTGAATACAGATAATATCCTATCTTTTTCATTAACTTCTAAAATTCTGGTTTTAAGAAAATTTTAATGCTCTTGAGTGATAGGAAAAGATGCTCAAATACCAATCATAGAGGTTCTGAAAGGAGAACTTCAGTTAAAATTTTATTAATGTTACTTAATCGATAAACCTCAAGAAATGGAAAACACGCTTAATAACTCCAGATTCAAATCTTCATTAAACTGATTTTCATATTTTTTTTTCCTTAAGAGGTTATCACACATGGCTACAGTCCCTGCTAGACGGGACTTTTCTGAGAAAGGAGATTCTGGTAGCCCTGGTTTAAACTCCTAGAAAAAAATATCCCCGCCTGAAGTCCCGCCTAGCTACGGAAGCAATGTTGCGGCTACGCGGGATTTTCTTAAACCTCACCGAAATTGTCTCGGGTCCCGGTTACAGACAACCAATCAGACGAAAGTTCTGCTTCTGAAGGATCACGTGATCCCGATTTGAACGATAATCAATTGCTGTTTGGCGTTCAAGTACTTGTAGCAAGTGAGCATGGTAACCTAGCTACGTGTGTTTCCTGGAATTGTGCGGGTTCTGAGACTTGTCCCTTTCGACGTCAAGTCCCGCGTAGCCGAAACATAATGTAAATGGGATCTTAGTTTGCATGTTTCGTAACAATACGAAAATTCCAAAAGTAAGTAACTAAAAATAAATTTACTTACTTCCAAAAGTAAGTAAATTTATGATCCATAGAATAATCGAGAAAAGAAGTAAACTATTTATTTTTTTAATATTTGTGAGCTTAAATTTTAACGCTCTCATTAAAGAAATATTTTGCAAAAACCCTGGCTTACATGAATAAAAAGAACAGTTTAAAGCAGTATCGGTCTAAATTCAGTTTTTATTTTACAATGATTGTGAATTTCAATAACAGATAATTATTCAATGGTAATTCCAAGACTTATATTTGTAACGGTAACAACCTCCCAGCTATTTGTAACATAATATGCACAGTGTCCACAAAAGTACTTACTTGGTCACAGTAGATCTTAGATATTATTTTTAGTTACAGAAATGTTACGATAATTCATACAATTACAATAATTACGAAACGAAAAAAAAAAATTGTGTAATGCACAAAATTAAACTTTTTATACATTCTCCTGTCCCTATACTTACGTTTAAGAAAATGTTTTCCTTGTCATAAAAAATAAAACACAGACATGTTTAACTCCCGTCGACAAAAATACACCGAGATATTTGCTATTAAAACCGGTGATCACATTTAAGATTCTGAACACAATTGAAGAGAGAAATGTTTGCAATTATGCGTAAATAAAAATAAAATATTAGTTTAGAAAAGGTTTCTGATGTTAAGATATTAAGTGACGAGCATCTATCTCTAAGCAGATTATTATGAAAACTATTTTTCAGTATATATTTTTCTTTTTTTTTTTCAAAATAAAGATCTTGTGTACAGAATCTTATAGCAATCCTGTTCAGAAAACATTCACAGGCTTCAGTACTCACACGCAGCCAACTCGTAATATTATTTAAATTAATTGAAAGTGAAACATATTTGTAGTTTAATGACATTTTTACGATTATCAGATTGTGATTCCAAAATAACTACAAAATAACTTCATGACAATATTAACAACGTATTTTTAAACTTTGAAGGCTTATAAATTACTTGTGAGAAATTGTTTTCAGCGTACCAAATGCTACAAAACCATATCATTGAAGGCCTTGAAAGGGAAATAAACAACCTCAACTTAATCTAATTTATTTATCAACAGATGATTCAATGCAAATTTAAAATTACTTCAAAAATATCAAATTTTGAAATTAAATATCTCGGCCATTTTTATTGTATGGGAATCAAACATTTTGTTTTATTTGTTATAACGAGAAATTTTGATTAATATAAGTACGGGAGGAGGAACGTATAAAATTTACATTTCGTAATTTTTATGAAATTCTTTTCTTTAATTTTAAAAATCCCAAAACATGAATACTTGTGCGCTTTAAAACATTTTTGGGTACTATTCCGTTTTGAGGACCGTAAAAAAATTGCAGTGAAAATGTATACGTAAAAGCGCCAAACCAAGCAAACGCGCCAAATCTAGCGTACGCCCTGATTTCAAATTTTGGATAGTTCACCAAACTTAAGCAATATATTATATTATATTTTGCTTATATTTCTTAAGACGCTGTTGAAATACTAGTTTAATTTTTAAATTCTTTTTTGACATCCTATGGATTTAACAGTTTGGGAATTGCCCATGACGAAAAGTCTGCAATAGAATTTTTTCAAAAAGGCATCATTCATTTTAGAAAATTATGTTTGAACAATCAACGAGGTGAAATTATGCTTTAGCGATAACTCATTAGCGAAATAGCAATGCAGGAATCCATTCAGTTATGTTTAGCCTTTTTTTATATAAATTATAAGATTGATCTGAAATAGTTACTTACTCTTATGCTTTCAATCAGTTATGTTTAGCCTTTTTTACGTAAATTATAATAATAAAAAAGTATTATATGAAATTAGCCTTTCATCTAAATTAAAACAATAATCGTTTACGGTCCTCAAAACCGAATAGTACCCGTTTTTGTTGCTGAAACTATGTCTACGACTAACTTTTGCAAAACTAAAGGCCGGCTAGCGATTTTTTGGGGGTATGGTGAATCTAAAATGCGATACGAAATGGTAAAAATGAATGACAATAATGCCAAAATACATTAGCAAGTATAATATAGGCTGTATTAGCAGTTTATAATACAGCCATTTATTCTTTTCCGAGAAGAGAAAAATTTAATAATTCTCAAATTTATTTAGCTCTTTAAAACAACTTTCAAGAGCTATAAAACTTAACTCTTAACTCTGAAATAGTGAATATTAACCATCATGACTTAGTCATCATATGCCTGACTGTCACTCACACTGGATGATTTTGAAATATGCAATTTACCACTCCTTGTTTTTGATTGTAGGTACCTGAGGCCATACGGCAGTGTCAAAAAGCAGGCATCACGGTGCGGATGGTGACAGGTGACAATATCAACACTGCGCGATCCATCAGTATGAAATGCGGTATCATTCGACCAGGGGATGACTTTCTTGTATTGGAAGGAAAGGATTTCAACTCAAGGATACGAGACGCCAACGGAGAAGTAAGTATGAAAAATTTGAAGTTTTATATGCAGTAGCAGGAGCATTTGATATTTATTAGCTTTCAAGCTGAATTTAATCTAGATTTTCAAGCACAAAATTATGATAGATTAGTTGTCTGAAAAACCAGCAATTTCAAAAATAGTAAAGCATGCTATAATATTTAGTAATAAGCATGCAAAATTCATAGAAATTATATTGCTTTCCAAACTTTGGATACAAGAAGTAAAAAGTTAAGCTTTAACGTTTTAACTGACTCAAAATTTCATTAGATGTAATAAACTCTTCAAAAGATGGTAGATAATTCGATCGCATATACATGGCTAAAAACCTTAATAAAAATATATTATATATATTTACAATCTTATATATATATATGTTATAATATGAGCACAAGTAAAAGCCGGAGCAGTGCCGATGCGTGCTTAGATCCATACTGAAGAAGAATTTTGATTGCGTAGTTTGCTAATAATGTTAACTTGGTAATATCTAAAGAACTTGACCTTGGCATTTCCAATTCCATTTTTATTTCCAATTGATGTTTGTGGCCACAATCACTCGGCATTCTAGTCGTGCCTTTCCACAGAAGATTTAAATTTTTGATATTGTTGAGATAGAAAGCAACCCAGCGAAATTACATCTCAGCACAGTAAAGAGCAAAGCTGAAGTAGTGCGTAGTTTTGCAAGATGGAAGCACGCGAAGAGAAAGTTTTGGTTTGCAATTTGGTGATTGGTCAATAGGCATCTGCATTAAGGGTTACGTAAGCTCGCATGAATAATTTGAATGACGCAGTTTAGACTAAAGCGCTATTTTTAGAACAGATAGATAAAGTTTCCAAATGAAATAGAAAATAAAAGTGGTTATAGTGAATTAAATTGAGACGCTTGCTTTCATATTTTTTATCTTATATATATATATGTATGTATCACACTTAGTATATTAAAAAAACTGTGAGCTATGCAAAGAAAAGAAATTTATCTTAACAAGGTATGTGATCACCTCTAATATACTTGCAAGCTCTGACACTAAGCTTCTTAGGCTGCTTTCGTACGCGATGTAAGTGTCATAGAGGCATAGTCACAAGGAGTAAAATGCGGAAATTCCGTTCTCACCTGTGGCACAGGATCTAAGCCGCAGCCACTTAGCGTTGCTAAATTTGCATATGAGTTGGATGTATCTACAGCTTTCCCATTCAGGTTTTGCGCATTCGCTCTGATTGGTAGACGCTTATTCCAAGTCGGCATAAAGTTTAAAACTTCGAACTTTGCCTTCGAACTTCACTGATGCTACAAAAGGAAACCTAGTTTCTACTTTTACAATTATTCCATAATCGGACAACACTAGTCCAGTTATGCCGACAGAAGTTCTTAGCTGCATCAAAAAAGTCCAGGCAAGGATAGAATTACTAACACCATCGAGAAGATGTTTCCTACAAATATGGTCTTTATCCTTACCAAGCTCTTCAATGAAATTCTTCGTACGCAGCATTTTCCAAGCCCCTGGAAAACTGCATTCATCACACCCATCCTCAAGCCCTAGAAGCCTGACAATAAATCTAATTCCCATAGGCCAATCAGCCTACTGCCCGGACTTAGTCAGCTACTTGACGCCGTGCTACTGAAAAGGATTACAAGGCATCTTGAAGACACGAATATTATCATATCAAATCAATTTAGTTTTCGAAAAAATTTGTCAACGACGAACCAACTTTACAGAGTAGTTCAGACTATTTCTAAAGGCATTCACCATCGCAAGATCACAGGAGGAGTTTTCATTGATTTAGACTTTTGACAGTATGGCTGGACGCCCTTATCTACAAAATTTACAGCCTGGGCTTCCCAGGCTACATCACAAATATCATTAATTCTTACCTTACTGGTAGACACTTTATCGTTCACATCTCTGGCCCACTATCCACCCGCCATGCCATAAGAGCCGGTGTCCCACAAGGTAGTCTTACTCAATATTTATGTAAACGGCATCCCTAAAACACCAAGCACAGCTTTACCTATGTACGCTGATGGCACAGCGATCCTAGCACAAAGCGCATTTGTTTATCCAGAAGTCCAGCACTTACTACAAGAACACGTACATGGATTAGAGACTTGGCTTAAAGAATGGAAAATTGAAGTTAGTGTACAAAAAACAAAAGCGATATTGTTTGTGTTAATGTATTCAATATCACATGGCACTGTAAAGCTCGCACTAACATTTTTTTTGCATAACGCCAGCTCGAACACCTCCCCCCCCCTAGATCTTAGGAACATTTTCTAGTCTAGCCGATTCCTAGGTTTCCATTTAAAGGGAGCTCATGCACCTTAAACCCCTTATGATCTTCGAATATGTGACTGTTGCAAGAATTGGAATATTTTATTTATTTTAAAAGCAATTACTTCCAACTTTATGCAACTGACTACATAATATAGCTGCTTTGGAAACTAGTAACCAGAAAGTTTGTCGTGCCACAAATATTTTTTGTAATTTAATCCACTTTGTGACAAAATGTTTCGTCATGTTTCCACCTTGCGCGCATGATATTTTAAAAATGGGTAATGGTACATACTTAAAATTTGATGGAAGTCTTCAAATGAGCATTATTTTCTAACTGAACCAAAAATCTGATGAATATTTTAATATTAAAAAATTTTATGCACGAAAACATTACAGATTTTTTTTAATAAAATACATTTTCTAAACTCAACTCCAAATAAAATAAAATTTTAACAGGAAATTCTTAGAATTTTTGGTTCACAGTAGTTTCCAAATGTTATAAAAGCTATATATCAAATATGGAATTAAATTATGCAACAGAATGTTTTAAACTGTGCGCGCAAGGTGAAAACATGGCGAAACATTTTGACACAAAGCGGATGAAATTATAAAAATATTTGTGGCAACTCAAACTTTCTGATTATTATTTCAGAAAGAAGCTATATTATGTAGTCAGCTGTAAAAGATTGGAAGTAATTGCTTTTAAAATAAATAAGTTATCCCAATTCTTGCAACAGTCACATATTCGATGATTTTATGGGTTTTAAGGTGTATGAGTCTTCTTAATTCATACATATATTGCTTATAGTGACGTTTTATCACTTCTTACACTAAACATTAATTATAGTTTTAAAATAAACTAAATAGCTTTTGTATATACTTATTAATTTCTAATATATTGCGTATATATGTATATATATATATGTCATCTTTCATCTTCTTTCACTATTCTATTCGAAAGTACTTACACTGTAGAGACATTAAGTATTCTTTGGAAGCAGGCAAGATTAAAAATATGCAACGCCTTCGCCAAGAATCGAACCGCGGACCTCTCAATTACGCGCTGAGCGTGCAGACCACTACACCCCGAAGGCTCGCTAAGAAGGTGGGAGAAATACCTTATAACACGTTCTACAAAGGGTAGGGTCTTTGAACCCAGGTACCCTGGTGTAAACACCAATCAATGACCTACGCCTTTTTTTATGCCAAGAACCCTAAACCAGATTTTCTGACGTACCACAGACTAGTTGCCTGGCAACGCCAGCTCGGCTTAAACCACTTATGCCCTTTATACCGTCGTCTGAACGCAGCTTTACATTCAGTTAAGTAGACAAGCACATAAGATGGCAATAATTGCCGTTTCTCTAAACAGGAAAATTTCTGACTATTTGAGAATATTTTGAGAGTTCTAAGGAGTACATAGGAGAACTTGGTACGTTCTGAGAACACATGCAAAAGGCAATCCTAAAGTTTCGATAGTGCTGAGGTCGAATAATTATAGTGGCTGATCGATACCTAAGTAATGCCTCAAGTTTCGAGGTGCTCTTCTTTAGATTTCCTCTACATGCAAGAACATTATAATCCATTAATAACTCTAAGAAACCCACCGCACATCAGTATACTGCCAGCAAAGAAAGGACGGTGAATAATAACATTTCTGTGATTGCTTTCTCATACGCTTATTATAGGATTACAATGCTATCTGCTTCTGCTTTTCTTGTTTTTGATACATAAAAGACACAAAGTCATGATATCCTAAGCCGTTTCTTATGTAGTCTGCGCCTCACAGCAGTCACAAATATTGTCATTTCAACTGTTGTAGTAAACCTGCTCCTGTAGTTGATGTGGTCACTCGTCAATTTCGCTCAGCTTAAAAGCCAGATATTTATCATCAAAAGGTGTGACAACGCTTGATCCCATAGGAAACAGGCCTACTAATCTGAAACTGTTTCTAAAGATAAGAGATTACTGGGCGGTTAAGACCAACGAAAACAGTGATATCTTTAGTAGAATATTTTACTTCATGCCTGCCGACAAAAATAATCAGAATCTTCTCTTAATTTTTTTATTAACAGTTAAACTCGTCTATTCAAAAGCTTCATCTCCAGCCATTGCCTAATTAGAGTATTTGCAGATACGAGTAATAAAATCCTAATTGGTCGCATCATATGAAATTTTTTCCATATTCCCTTGACAACTACAGAGTTTCACCCAATGAAATTGAAGAGCGCGTTTTGAAGCTGAGAATTTGCATCGGGTGTTTCTTTTTGCAGTTAAGAATATTAACATTGTTGATTTGTTAATTTTAAATCTGTTAACTCAATGACTTTATTCAAACTGCTCAAGTTGTATAAATGTCGGCAGCAACTTTTGATGACTTTTTCCTCTAAATAGCGGCAACACTGTTCATCACTCGTATACTAACAACAAAGCCTTTCTATGAATTGATACTAATGAGAAAATAGCCATCAGACTCTGGAAATTATAATTATATCTAGAATGGTAATCTAATAATGTAAACTTAGAAAATTACTGTTGATACTTATCAGATGCTTCTATTTTTAGGTACAACAACAACTTTTGGACAAAATTTGGCCGCGATTAAGGGTTCTAGCTCGTAGTTCACCCACAGACAAATACACTTTAGTGAAAGGTATCATAGACAGTAAGCTACACGCTAACAGAGAAGTCGTCGCGGTCACAGGAGACGGCACCAATGATGGTCCTGCTCTGAAAAAAGCAGATGTTGGCTTCGCTATGGTATGTACACTTTTAGCAAAAGTTCTCTTGTAGAAAACAAAGTAAGAATTTTGAAAAAGTTACATAAGTTAAATGCAGCTCTGAATTTGTTATGATGTAGTTTCAAAATGTAATTCTGAAATCATTTGTATCTTTTAAAATATTAGTGACAAAATGCATTGTTATGATGTTGTTTCAAGATTATAATTCTGAAATCTTTTGTATCTTTTAAAATATTAGTGACAAAATGCACTATTTTATGGTATATTTCTACTCGTTTCCAGAACGCAATATGCAACTACTGCACATTGAAAAAAAAATTGATTAATTGGTTATGTACCTGAGTCATTATGATTAAAAATCCTAATTCTTAAAAATATCACTTATTCACAGTGTGCTTCTCTTTATTTTTAATTGAAACAACAAACAAAGCATAGAAGCCTTCTTTAATGTTTGAAAAGTGGTACTTTCACTAATATCTAAATGTAAGCCTGTCTGTCAAAAATATTTGAGTAGAGGAAGATAAAAAATGATTGGCGCGCTATATACAAAAAGGACTTAGAGGCAAAATAAAAAAAAAAGAATAAAAAGATTTAATACTAAGAAACAAAAATAAAATATAGAAACAAATCCATTAGAAATAGACTTAATGTGTATGAATTTTTACATGAAAAAACAAAAGCACAGTAATTAAAACAAATGCAATAGAGCTTACATACGCGGCATTCAATTACATCAATAAATACAAAAAAATAAATTTCATAAGTCTTGTGATTAAGTACGAATTATACTGGTTGCCGAACAAGAGCTGGTTAATGGCTCTGCATGTTTCAGTTTTTACAGCGTTTGTTTGGGCGTTCGGAAATCTTGATTTCGAACCTCACCCGAGACCTAATTGTACAAAATAATAATAGAAAAATATTTTTCCCAGAAGTGAAGATATAAATAGCAACTGTAAAATTATGCATAGTAACTGAAGATATAAATAACAACTATAAAATATAAATGGAAATAGCGCATTAGATTGGATTATTCGATTGTGGCTGTATGAACAGAGATAACTAAGTAGAGACCATTTAAAGTGTGGAATTGTATTAAACAATAAAATACAAAATATGCCCATAAATTAATATAGCAATGGAGTAAGATAACAAATTAAACAAACTTAAATTTTAAGAATGTAGAAAGTTTTAAATGAAACTTTTGCTAGTAAAAAGCAAACGGTCTTTCATTTACAGCCGAGTTCCAGGCAGCTGTATCGTTTTGATAATTTAAATTCATCATAAGAGAGAAGAATTTACTGCGGTTAAGGAGTTTCCAAATAAATTCGTAATTTATTTTCATCTACTGTATGATTGTATTGATATTAAATTAAAGGAGTTGCTAATATAATTATTTATTTTGTATTGAATAATAAAATGCTTATCTGAATCATTATCAATGATTTCTCGCAAGAGATATTTAAATCCTTATGAATTATTTGCTGACACATTACAAATCTGAAATTAGTGCGCTGATTCATATGTTGATTGCACAAAAGCAAGTGAAACGAAAGTACGCTTTATAAAAAATGTGATGTGTACGCCACATGACTTCCTTGTATTGGAATATTAAATTATACGCACTTTTTCTTACATTTCATTTAAACTTATTGGATTGAATTAAATCTACTTCGCTGACAGCGCATAAATCACAATAGAATAAATGCATTTTTTTAAAATTCACTCTAGTATTTGTTTACCATAGTGACACTCTGGCGCTAGATTCACTTAACAGTATTAATAATTATATAACAGTTAACTTATATAATAATTATATAACGGAAACTAAGTTAAATGTTATATAATCCAATAATTATGTAACAGTTAACTTATATATTTCGTTCACATTATAACTCATAACGCACAAAATTTATATGATTTAAAGAATAGAATTATCTAATCGTTGCCACGTGTTCTATTCAAATACTATAATAAAGCTAGAATGATGTATAAAAGAAATTAAGCAAACAAAACACAAAAAAGAAACACTTTTTCACAGACGATTGAGTATTTCTCATTTAATTAATTCAGTTCTCACTTCGCGAGAAAGCAAAAATACATAAAAACTCAAAATATCTCTATTAAAAATTACGAAGTAAATCTTAAACACTTATTTCCTCGAAAAAAAATTCCAGAAAGAATTAAGCATGATTTAATTGGCAATAATAAATGAATGCGTTATCTTTGCTGTTGAGAAGCTAAGTTTCTCTAGATTGGCAACAAATCCACTAGTCTCCTGTTTCAAATGTAAACATCAATGGCCGCCATTAAAAAAAGGCTTAGCTGCACTTAGACAACTTTAAAATTGTTGATAATTCTAAAAATATTGCACACAGATTTACTAAAGGCATAAAACCCTTAACCGGAAGATAAAAACAACATAATACAATCATTTTTAAAGCAAAAAATGTACAATTTACAAACACATAAGAGTAAAGAAATTGAGATCACTGAGCCGGGTAACAGAGTGGATACATATATAAATATATTTATATACGTTTGGTGCGGCCGATTCCAACCAAAATACGAGGTGCACATCTACATGTTATAGCAGGCCTATATACAAAATTTCAACGTTCTGAGGCTACTCGTTTTTGAGTTATGCGAGATACGTACATACGTTCGTACAGACGCCACGAAAAACTCTCTTCAGAATTAATTTTAAAGCAGTTTTATAATTTTTTGAAGGAAAAGAGTATTTTATTCTGTCCTTACGTACAGATATCGCGCAAAAACATCGTTAAATTGCATTCGATAGCGGTCAAAATGGATATTTTCGTTGAAATATGCTGCCTGACACTTTTCGCGATTACAATACTTCCTTTTTACTTCGTACAAGGAAGTAAAAAGAATGGTTATGGTTGATTTTTGTTCCGATTTTGGAATCTTTAAATTTTATAGTACTTATATTTTAATGCAGCATAAAACAATTAATTTTTCTTTTTTATTCGATATCACAGTATTTGTTGAAAGGAGTTGCTAATTTAATTATTTATTTTGTAATGAATAATAAAGTGTAAATTTCATTTTCATATTTATCTGAATCATTGAAAATGGTTCCTCTCAAAAGATATTTAAATCCTTATGAATTATTTCCTGACACATTACGAATCTGAAATTAGTGCGCTAATTCATATGTTGATTGCACAAAAACAAGTGAAACGAAAGAATACTTGAAAAGAAAGAATGCTTATGGTTGATTTTTCTCCCGATTTTGAAATCTAAATTTTATTGTAGTAATAAATATTACTTTTATTTTAATGTAATTAAAATAATATTATTTTTATTAAATATTTTTTTATTTTAATGTAGCACAAAACAATTAATTTTCTTCCTTTATTCAATATTATAATATTTGTTGTAATATCCTTACAATATTTACAACATTATAATATTTATTATAATGTTATATTTTGCTTCCAATATTTGTTATAATGTTATATTTTGTATTATTTTTTCGAAAACCTTTTTATCTCCAAATAGTAAATATGTCAGTGTAATAGATTAACTAGAAAAAGCAGTTATTTATTAAAATCGTCTGGATTAGAACATAAAAGAATCAATAAGGCGGGCCTGTGCTAGAAATTCGTAAATCTCTCTAAAATGGTAGCCTACGAAAACTCTAATTAAAGCATTGTAAAACCTATTTAAGACGTGAATCCTTAACACAGAAATAACAGCAGTTTTAGTTTTAGATCATATAACTGCTCTGTTTGTTATTGCGAGAATCGTTTCGTCTCAACTTTAGCTGAATATACAGTATGCATATTTCTGTCATTAAATTTCATTCCCTAATAACTTCTTTCAATTTCCATAATTTAATGTTATACTTTGATAAATGCGGTTACTTATTTTACTAACTTTTATAGCATTTCAAGTCATATTAAATAAATATAAAACTATTAGATAGTTTTCCTTACCATTACTTTATTTACGAATTCTTTAATTCGTAACCACTGATGCATAAACTGCTAATACGTTTTAGTGAAAATTTGCTCTAACTTTGTGTCAGCTTCTGGGCATTTCAGACCTTAACAAGAAAATACTTTTTATTCTTCAGTTTTCGAAATTTTCAAAAACATTCTTCAGTTCAATTTTCAAAAGTTCTGCAGTACGTATATTTAAAAGCAGTGTACGAAGCAAAGCGCAAATGGATCCAAGTGTAAGCCATTCTTTAAACAAAAGTTCTAATTAGCCTCAGAATTTCTTTTTTCACGACTGTCTGCTCTATTCTTTCAGATCTACATTCAGAACTGAATCATCCTGTCAATATAGCTTCGGCTAGATTATTGTTAAAGAATGAAGGGCGTACGTCTTTCTGTAAGGGCAGTAGCCGCCCTGTTTGCTATAGTAGTTTGTGATGCTAGTTGCCGTATCACTGGCCCCAGTTTCGAAACCCGGGAAGGGATGGATTTTTGCAAGTGTATAATGCTTGTGAGGCAGGACAGCGCTTAAAATAATGAAGAGCCGAAATCCCTCTGGAGTGATTTGTTGGTATGATAAAAAGGGTCGGACATCCTCGGATCCGTCCTCCCTGGTATGTTTTCTCTATCAAAATTGCAGTGCAGCTGCAAAGCTACGACGGTGGGAATATACCTTTGCGAACAATTGTGAACTTCTGATGTCGAACGCACTTCATGTGTCTGTAATGGCAACAGTGATCTTGAAGTTCGGCTGCGGATGTAGCAAGAGTCGCGTATGAGCCAATAAAGATCTGTAATATTGATAATATGATATAATGATATGCAATCCTAATCACAATTCCATTGTCACAGGCTATGCATTTGGCATAGGAATAAGTTCCGGGCAAGAAAAGGTCTGTGCTGTCTTACGGCCCCATTAATGACTGGTTCGGATCCCATCGTCCCACTGGATGATGAATGGGTCTAGCGCTTCGACATAAAATTAAAAAATTAACTTAAAAAATAAGAATAAACCGCATAAACGTTATCTAAACAATACACGTGCATATATATTGTTTGTTTGCTGTGATTCATTAACGTGATAGAATCTTTTAAAACTCCCTATGTTAGGCAACAGGATCCTTACTAAGACGCACAGTTAGCAAGTACATCTTGTTGAAAAGTTTTTTACAGGTGGCTCCGGCATGGTGCTTTCAAGTTGTGAAAGTTACAGAAGACAGCAGGTGGCTCTAACGATCTGTTAGAAATCACTGGAGTTAGACTAAGAAATTCTGCTTTTTCAGCTTTCTAGCCAGACTCGTTCTTTCATAGACTGGAACATTTTCCAATTGCCCAGATTTGCCATCGAAAGACAAGCCTTTATCAACCTCAGAGTTGTAAACCTCAGAGTCTAATTTTTCTCAATAGTCAGCTTTGATTTTGTAAAAAAATAAATGTTCAAATTGTACTTGTAATGTGGTAGAACATTACCAGTAACCCATACAAGTTAATCAGATTGTAAGTCATCAAATCATCCAAAAATAAATAAATAATGGCAATCTCTCTTTTTTCCCCTATTCATTAAATTTTTTGAAATTCACAACAAAACAGAGAACGCGTAGGAAACTATAATATTCTTCCTTCTCAACATTAAATTATCCCATAAGTATTTATTAATCATAAAGAATTTTCGCCATAAAGCAATTCTTTCCAGAACACAATCTTGATTTGCTCAATTATTTCAAAAATCTCAAATAGCATAATAATGAACTTCCAATTTTTCATATAATATTTTTCTTTAGTAATTCTGTGAAGTCTAATGAAGTATTGTTAATGCATGATGCATATATGATTATCTGATACGTTACGATGGATGTCATTAGAAATTCTAAAAGAGGTAAAAGCAATTACTGAAAAAAAAATTAAATTATTCTGAGTAAATTTGATTAATGCTGGTAACTTGCTCTTTTCTAAACGACAAGTTTAATTGCCCTGTTGTCATTTTACATTTTAACTACTAATGTAATGAGTTTTAAAATTATGGGATTTTTGGTTAAGTATGAATTTAAAACTAGTCTTTTGATTTAATTTTCGTCAATTTTTTTAATAGTATCTATTACACTCTATGAAATAAATGATTAAGTAAGGATCACTTTCCTTTTTAGTGCTTGCTTTCCAACGAATATTGCAAATGGGGTTTTTAGAAATGAAAATGGATTTTTTCACGATAGTGACCAGTTTACCATGAGAAACTGTCACTTTTCAATGGTTGCGCGTTAATGGATTGTTTCAATTCTTGCATGTTAGTGGGCAGCTTTCTTGAAAGATTACTTATCATGCTTTCCTTCATTTATGTGATTCTAGGTGATTAATATTCAGCATACAAAGAAGAGTAGCTGGTTAGCAAACTTTTCATCTCAACAACTTAAAACGAAAACTATCTTAAAATAAATGTCTGTTGTTCTTCACTTTTGAAAATCTTTTTATGAAATAAATCTCACCTTAATGAATTAACGAAATGTATGTGGTTATAAGACTCCTTCGTTCAAATCTCGCAAAATATTGTAAGAATTTATATTTATTTTAGTTAACAAGTTTAATTTTAAGCTTTCCTATAAGCTTTCATTCCCCTAATTATCAATGCCAGAATATTTAAATTTGGTAGCACGCGTGAAGGAATGCAAATTCTACCAAAGTTTAAATACTGAGTTCAAAATGGAAAATTAGAGAGTTAGTCTATTGCCGTCACCTCTGTAGCGTGAGCTTCTATTTCTGCATTTATTGCTGGTTTGCGTGGCATAACAGCATTTACTTTGCTGCCACTAGTTTTCGACGCGAGTTTAGAAACAGGATTATCTGAACCCTGTCGCGTAATTTCTACGACTTATTAAAATCTTTGAATTTTTATTTCTTGTGATTTGAGTTACCGCCCAAGTGAGGCGTAGTGTGTTAGCGTCAACTCGACGCATTGTAAATTTTAAACAGTTTAATAAAGGGAACTTTTAACTCTTCTCCTGTGTAATTCCTACACGCACGTACTACAAGTACAGTTGTCACTTAGAAGATAAGCAAGTAGAGCTTACAGTATAACAAATGACAGATAAATTCTGGAAAAAGCAATTTTAGTCTACCACAAGGATAAAGATTAATCAAGTTTTCAATACTGATTTATGTTATCAATCATGTTATTTCTCTCATAAATGGCTGTCATTATCTAGATATCATTTTTCACTCAAAACCTTGTTCACTTATAAAGAAAAAGTTTTATAAAATAAGCTTTTATTTAATACTCATAAAATAATTAATGAAATAAAAGGAGAACACTAATTTACCGTATAGATGGATGGGAACAATAGATTAAACCATTCTCTTTCCAAAACTCATCTACAATTTTACATGAATAATAAAACATGAAACCTCTTTGATAAAATTATAAATATAATGACTTATACTTTTACAATACAGTTCAATTAAAAATTTGTTTGTTTGAGATTAATAGTTTGTGCAGTTCTGATTCGCTTCGATTAGTGAAAAATTCGATGATTCGATGAAAATTTTTATGATATAAATAATAGCCTTTTTATTGATTGCATAGACAAAATGTTACCCCAGTGGTACAGAATATTTTTTATGAATATGTCTTTTTCTTTTAATTTTGTCATTAATATACCCTTACCGTATATAATACGTCTTCTGTTCTGCTGATTAAAATAGTTTTGCCTCTGCGCTTTTATTTCGGAATGATTTACGAATTACATAAAAATAAAAGTTACTTAAAAGTTCACAGAAAAGGCTTATCACATGAATGGAACTTGCATTACTTTTAATTTGGCTGTTAGATGGCATCTGCGTATTTTCTTTAGAAGCAAAGTCTAATTTAATAACATATAGAATAGTGCAATTCGTATTATAGAAAAAAAAAGAGAAGACGTTTTTGACTAGCACCATGTTGCATCTGAGTAAAGTGAACCTGAGCAAAGAAACTCGAACTTCTTTGAACAGAGCAGATCCTATCATAACACAACAACGGAATTTTTGTCCTCTAAGACAAATTTCCTTCAGCAATCTCCGACTAAGGCACCTCTTCCATTTAGACAAATATCCCAAGCGTGCGTTTCCATAATTTAAATAATCCAGTTTAATTCAATCTTATCCTCTGACGCTTTTCTCTCTTACTAAGATAGACGCCCACCAGCGGCTGAGCGGTAAAGTCGCTGAACACTGGTAGTTCGGTCCGAAGTTCGAATCCCGCTAACGGGCTGGCTGCTTGGGTGTTTTCGTCGTTTTCCCCATGTGTAACGTGTATACTAGCCAGTTTGCCTTAAAAAATCCTCCACGAAGGCATTCCTCCACTTAGGCAGATAGCCCTCGAGGCTTTGTCGTAATTAAATAACCTAACCTAACCTAACCTTATTAAGGTAGGCTCCTCAGTGGCTGAATAGAATAAGACCCCTGAACAGTAGAAATTTGAAACGGTTCAATTCCAGGCGAACGGGCTGGCTGCATTGGCGTTTTTCTGGTTTTCTCCATTGGTAACGTGTATACGAACCTTAGAAAGTCTTCCACGAACGTATTCCTCCTTTTCGAAGACAGCCCTATTGTATTGTCCTTTTCCATAATAAACTAAACGAAACCAAAATCGTTTCACATAACAGAAGCACTATGCAGCCACCATCTTAGCATGGATCTGAGCCAATAACTACTAGTTTTCTACTGTCTTAACCATTTGGCTTCTGGTGAGGTCCCGCAGACACAGAGAGAGCATTTTTCTCAGTCAGAAAGTGTTAAATCTATTGAGTGATAAAAGAAATTTATTTGGTTATTATACTTTTTATCTTCTTTGTTGTATGATGAAGTGTATGACAATTCTTAAATCATGCATACTTATGAAATTATATCATACTTTACATGGAAAGCTCTTGAAAAAGTTGTTAATTAATTTTTTGATTGTAGCTTATTTGTATACTGGAACTTGAGAATTAGAAATATACGCAATTTTTTAGGGTATTGCGGGGACAGATGTAGCAAAAGAGGCTTCCGACATCATCTTAACAGATGATAATTTCACAAGCATCGTTAAAGCTGTTATGTGGGGACGAAATGTATATGACAGCATCGCCAAGTTCCTTCAGTTCCAGCTGACAGTCAACGTCGTGGCAGTCATAGTGGCCTTCGTTGGAGCATGCGCAATCGAAGTAAGAAATGATTCAATTTACGTCCTGTTTTTAAGAGGCATAGTAAGAATATGCCGAAAAATTCGAAATCCTTCTTTAATATAATATAATATTAATTTAATAAGTAACAGTATGCGGAAATTTGATGCTTATTAAATCTTCTGGTTTTTACTCATATTAAAAAATTTGCCTAATGTTAATGAAAGCTTTCATCTTGCATGGGATTTATTATATGTATTATCACTGTTGTCTTCATTGAGTTTTGCTTAAAAAAATAAAGTAAATAAAATAAAAGGAAAGAAGTTTAGCAGATGCTAATTCTGATGTTCACCCACTAAGTCCGGTTGAGTACTGAGTTCAAAAGAGAGAAAAGCATGTAAATTTTAATTAAATAGACACAACAGTAGACAAGTGAAGAAATAATACAAGAAAACAAAACATCAGAAACGATAAAAAGAAAGCAGAATTAAAATATCGCAACTTAGGATAATCTTTAAATAGAAAAGCAACAAAATTAAGTCTAACTGTCGAAGATTTGCCGCATTTTGCATAGAAAAATTCATATATCTAAAATGTCAGATATAACAGTCAGATATTTATGTAAAACTAAATGAAATAAGGTTACTATTCCGTTTTGAGGACCGTAAAAAACTGAAACGAAAATGCATGCGCAAAAGCGCCAAGTCTAACAAACGCGCCCATTTAACAGCGAGCCAAATCTAGCGTACGCGCTGATTTCAAATTGCGTAAGTTTAGATAGTTCTGTATTTTTTAAGACGCCAATGAAATACTAATTTTATTTTTAAATCCTTTTTTGATTTTAAATCCTTTTTTAATAGCCTATGGATTTAACAATTTGGGTATTGCCCATGACGAAAAGTCTGCAATCCATGTACACATCCACCTATTTTCACTTTAAAAAAAATCCCAGAATTGCATAAATATGGCACTGCGCACACCCTTGACTTTATCTATGTACAGGTCGGCCTATTTTTGCTTAAAAAATTAAAAAAAATTGACAAAAATTCAATTGTTTTTTACCCTTATAAAAAAAAAGCGCCAAACAAATAAGTGGGCGATTCTGCACGTTACCGAGAATTTTTTTCAAAGAAAAGGCATCATTCATTATAGAAAATTATGTTTGAACAACCAACGAGATGAAATTATGCTTTAGCGATAACTCGGTAGCGAAATAGCGATGCAAGAATCCATTCAGTTATGTTTAGCTTTTTTTATATATAAGTTATAATAATGATTTGAAATAGTTATTTACTCTTATGCTTCCTTTCAGTCATGATTAGCCTTTTTATATTAATTATAATAATAAAATGTATTATATGAAATTAGCCCTTCATCTAAATTAAAACAATAATCTTTAGATAGTTATTTACTATTATACTTCCTTTCTTGTTTTAGGGTTGCCGCAATTATTTTTGGCGGCACTGGCATCAACAATAGTTTGGCGATTTTTTACGGTCCTCAAAACGAAATAGTACCAAAATAAGAAAAAGAAAAATGGCATTTTTAAAAGCTTCAAAGAGTTGATTTTTTCCAAACATTTTGCTAAAATGACTTAGGGCACGAATAATAAAAATATGTGTGTTGAAAATAATGTAAAAAAATCATTGATCCACATAGCGCACAAACTCACTTTTAATTCTTTTAATTTATTAATTAACATAATGCATTCAAAAAATGAAACATATAAGGAAAATGGAAGGGCAACTTAATATTGATTTATTATTTAATCTTGTTTAAATCAGAAGTAGAAAGAAATTCTTAAAAGACATCTTCAGTCACGATATTCATAGCATTAGGCACTGGGATGATGAATTACACCTTTCTGTAATTTTCAAAGAAGATTTAGTGCTGACCTACGAATTCTCTAGGTTGCAAGAAGAAAATTTTAAATTCTTCAAATAGAGAAATTTCTAAAATATTTTATAGTTAAGTCTATACCTAATTTATCGGAGTTATGGAAAGAAGAATTTCTCCATTTTACGAGAAGTTTTTAAAACTGCTGATTGAAGTAAGATTGAGTTGCTGAAGAAGTAAGTGACATCTGCAATACGAGCTAATGCTATTAATGGGTAAATTATATGCTAAAATTTTTAATAAAAAATACAATACTTCTCTTTACATGTCTTTACATACATTACCTGTAACTTATTGATCTACTTTAAATATTGTTTTAAGATATATTTTCTTAAGAGAGGGATGGGTTTATCCGAAAGAAACCTATCAGTTCTAAAGGTTCCGTGAGTCGACAAAGTTTAACGACCAGTGATGTACAGCATATATTTCATCCATTACATTTGTATTTAAGTATTAAATAATGTTATACTAACGAAAGTACAATTTTTTATAAGAACGGTTTAATTATTTTTCCTTTATTTCTTATCGAAAAAGTTCGTCTGATATACGTCCAGTTTGGTATAAGTCAAAGGAGCTGGAACTAATTATTAACGTATGTCGAACTACCTCTATATATTGTATATATTGCTCCTAATCCCATAATGAAAGTAAATTCTCACATACTATGACTCCCACTTAGTCACGCCTTAACTGCGCCTGTTAATTATTACTGAGCTCTTGCGTTGCTGGTCTTCCTATCCTTTATCCGTCTTTGCTCCTCCTTACGGCGGATATTATATGAAGATAGTCTTATGTTATGGCGCCCATCTGGCATAAATTTGATTGAGCCAGATAAACTACTGATCTCAGTGGTATTCTGGCGATATGTTATCAGTCAGTCAGTCAATGAAAGTAAATGGTCTTTTCACTTTCAAAATGATTGCATCAAGTTTCGTAAAACTGGGATTTTAGTATGTTAGGTTTAATATCTTACTAAAATAAATAAATATTTTTTATTGAATATTATATTTTTGAATCACTTTAAATAGTCACATCATACTAAATAATAAAAAAATTAATTAAATAAATAAAATTTTAAAGCTGTAAGGTATTTCTCCTGCCTTCCTAACGTGCCTTCGTGGGTAGTGGTTCTGCACGCTGGGCCGGTATTCCAGAGGTCCGTGGTTCAATTCCCGGCGAAGACGTTTGCTAATTTTTCATCTCTCCGGCTTTTCCAGTTAATTCTAATGTCTCTACAAAGTTTTCAGATTTTATATTAAGCCCAAACGGTCGGTTCCCCCCCCATTTATAAACACATACACGTTTCGAGAGCATGGGCTTTCGCATCTTAAAATACAGATATTTATAAAAAATTATTAATAACCTTTTATTTAGAAAATATATGATTTAATTGATTAAGTTTCAAAGCGGAATTTGATGTTAGAAATTTTATAACGTTACGGAATATTTTACTGCAAAGGCTACTGTTATGTGTTGTAACAAGTCAACAAGTCGCGTGCGCTTTCACTTTTTATTATTCAGTGGCAACAGTGAAACAATGTTTTGTTGACGCCCAAACTATTCTCCAGATGTCCAAACTATTACCTGTAACTTGTCTTACAAGAGATTCAAACGTAGTCACCCAGAAGTAAATAGTATAAGGAATGAGGAAGACCCTCGTAACCCGTAAGGGTTGCCATCTCCACAGGTTGTAATCATCAACGAGGGGGGGATGTAAAAAGTCAAGAAATCGCGTGCGTTTTGACTTTTTTAGGATTCAGCGGCAACAGTGAAATATTTTATAAAGCACTGCATACTAATTGTAGGAAAGTAATCAGTTTGAGTTATGTGATTATTAATGTTGCTGCAATTCTTGGTATAACAGCTTAAACATTTATTGAAAATAAATTGTAACAAATTTGTTGGCAAACGGTTACTCTGTACCGAAAAACTTAACATATCGCTTTAGAGATAAGTGCTCTAACGTGTAAATATTTATAAAAATTATCTCTCATATACTATATTAAATAATTTCAGCTTTATGAATTATAAATTATATCATTTTCATAACTGAGAGATAAAATAAAGATATAAATTACTGAGATATACATTATGTTGCTTCTAAATCCTTCTGATTTTAGGAGATGAACGCCTTGGTGATTAACATAACAAAATGTGACGATAAGTGACACGAATAATGGGAAAGCCTAAGCTAAAGACATTTTTAAATGACAATAGTCACCGACATTCCTTATAAATGTTAATGAAAAAGTAAGATATACTCAATGTAAAAACTGCAACACTTAGTACGTAGACGTGTTCTGAGAGTACGTCTTTGAATTTCTAGTTAACCAAGGATTAGAAATGAGTGAAAAAATGTGTCTTGTATACATCTGTATAATTCTGCGAACCTGATTTTTTTTTCAGGACAGTCCTTTGAAAGCAGTGCAAATGCTCTGGGTAAATCTAATCATGGACACTTTAGCTTCTCTGGCCTTGGCAACAGAGATGCCAACCCCCCAACTGTTGTTGAGGAAGCCTTACGGCAGGACAAAACCTCTCATCTCCAGGACCATGATGAAAAACATTCTTGGACATGCCATTTATCAGCTGACAGTCATCTTCACTTTACTTTTCATCGGTATGATTTTCAGCTTCCATATATAAAACTGAAAGTAAAAATACGAAAGAATTCATTTTAGTTTGTATTTTGTCCTTCTTTAGAAATGATCATTACATTTTTATTACATACGATCATTTATTTACTGTAGTAAAATTATACTAATTTTTAGAATTTTGTCAGCAAGGTCATTTCATCTGAATAAATCATATATACAGGCTATCCTATCAAAACCACCCAAACTCTGCACAGCCAGATTCCTGGCTTGGACTATATAAAAAACGGCCACAGAAATTGTACCTGTACCACCCATAGTTTTCGAGATAAATGCGAAAGAAACGTCACATCGCCTACGGTTCATATCCGTTATATACTCTATAGCTCCCGCAGAATATATCTCCACCGCATTTCAGCGCTCCTGTACGGGATTGGCTAGATGTGAAATATGCTGACCGCTGGATTGAACGTGGGGGGTTCGGTTTTAGACTGTCACGATCGCCAAATCTGGACAACTTTGGATTTCTTCCTATGGAGCCATGTGAAGAAATTGGTCTATCAAGATATAGTTACTACAGAAAGTGACGTAGTTGCTGGTCTTCATGCTGCTTGTACTTTGTTGGACACCATACTGCTACAATGTGAACAGTCAGCCACTCCACGACGTGAACGTGAGTGATTTGATATGCGCTACGGACATTTTGAACGGGTCCGTGACACTTAGCCGACTGGACACTTAACCGACACCAGTTAGATTAGCCGACACGGACACTTAGCCGACAAGGACACTTAACCGACAGGACATTTAGCCGACACGGACACTTAGCCGACAAGGACACTTAACCGACAGGACATTTAGCCGACACGGACAGTTAGCCGACAGGACATTTAGCCGACAAGGACATTTAGCCGACACGGACAGTTAGCCGACAGGACATTTGGCCGACACAGAGAGTTAGCCGTCAGGACATTTAGAGCTACGGGACACTTACCTGTCAAGACATTTAGTCAACAAGTTACTAAGCCGACTGTGACGTTTAACTCACACGTACCCAAAAATTATTTAAACTATGAATTACAAAATTTCTCGACTACTCCATGAGTTCAATATATAAGTCATTGTTTCACCTATCAGTAAAATTCATTTTTCGATTCTTAAAGATCTCATATTGTGCTATTAATTATTGTGTTAATTTAGCATTGTTTGATATGTATCGTGCTGTTTGGTGTACATTGGCCAAATTGAAAAAGCGCTGAAATTTCTCGAAAATGAATAAAACAAAACCTTAAAGAATATTTTACTTCTAAATTAAACATTATGCACTAGTTTAGGGCTATAAACATTTACCTAAGTAAGTATTTTAAGCGAGAGGCGTGGTCAATAAAATGTTACAGAATTTTTATCTCAAGAATCATGAACTGCAAATTATAGAGGTCACAAATAGTAATTTATACCTTTGCTTGTCTTAAAAAATTCACTTTTTTTAATTGTTTTTAATAACAAAATAAAATAGCTTTGCTAAACTAACCCTCACCACTATATGTTTCCATAAAAAGTATAATTCAAGAATAAAAATAATTTTTATTGCATTATTCAGATTTTTCATGACAGGGAAAGGAAATTTCATTAGTGGAAGGAGCCAAATGATTTTGTAAGGGAAAAAATGTAACATGATGTGATGTGTAAAATAGTAATGAAACGTAAAGGTATTAAAAATTTGAAAGCATTTGGAAGAGCGAGATTGGAAAATTAATATCATTAAGTAAACAAGAAAAATTATTAATGATGTGAAAGTGTTAAAAAGAACCCAGTTGATTAAATGAAGAAGCTTTATGGATAATTTTTGAAGCTCTCACATTAAAATGTAATTTAGTGACCGCCGTACTTAGCTAAAAAAATTCTTTTTTTCTTTCGAAATTTCATTCATTTTCATCCCTGACGAGAAATTTCAGCGCTTTATCAATTTCGCCAATATACACCAAACAGCACGATACATAGTACATACATAGACCTTATAAGAGATAGACTAACCCAGTGGGCGGAGCGTGCATCGCCCACATGTCCGCAAGAAAGAGTAGGGACGATCTGGCTTACGGAAACCTATGGCGTTTGTATCACATAACTGTTTTTAATTATTAAATGTGATACGTTGTATAAGTGATGAAAGTCACAGTTTTTGCAAACAAGATTTAATATATCTCATTAAAGTATTTTTTATTGCATTTTGCGCATTTTTTCAAGCGTAATTCTTGTATAAATTTCTTTACTTAAACGGTAAAAATTCTAAACGCAAAACTTATGAACTTATTTTTGTGTACAAATAAAGGAAAATTAAATAATACTGATAGCATATGATGCTTTGAAACAAATAAGGTAAAATTAAACAAGATCTGATAATTTTCTTTGATTTTATGAGTATTTTCAGGCAGTAGTTTTTAAAATTATTATAACATAACAAGACGATCATTTATTTGATTATATGATCATTAATTATTAACATTAAAAGATGATTATTTATTTTAGTAATTCATAAAATTCGGAGCATAAACTTTTTTGAGTGTAATGAGGAAAAAAAAAGATAAACTCTGGAAGCACTCAGCAATATAATTTTATATTACGCCCAAAGGAGCGTTTTTTGTAACGTTTTGTGTGTTACCTTTTATTTATTAAACATATCATGTTCTTTCGCAAGTAAAACACACATAAAATTCAAATTCAAGAACAATAATCACAAAATATTTGAAAATGGACATATCTTTAGAATTTCCGCGTTGGAGATAAAAATGTTATTGTCTGTACAGGGTTGCCATTGCTCGCTTTGAACTCGTTGAATTTGTTAATCAAAACTTCGTTTAAGTTACAAAATATGAAATGGATTAAAACAAATTCGAAATTAGGCGGTGCAGGTGCCCCATGTTCGGGTGGAGGATTACATTATTCAAAATTTTATGGTTCTAAATTCTGTTGTTTTTTTCACAGTGCGAGAGAAACATACATGCATTCATGCAGATTCTTCATTATTTAATTTCTTTAAATATAATACAGGGCGATAATATTTGGTGGCAACAGTTTGCAAAGTGAAACGGACATTTATAGTGAAACAAAGCAAAATGCCGTTTCGAAACTAATAGCTTTTCTGAGCTGCCGCCTCTTTGGGCTAATAAAATAAATTAACAATATATAAGAAAATTTATGCAGAACTAGAAATAAATTTAAAAAATAATCACTATAAAATACTAGCACAATTAATTAATTATTACAGTTAAATACAATTTTTAACATTATAATAAATGCATAAAAGTTATTAAAGTGTTAAAAGTGTTAATCACTATGATGTATCATGAAATATTATTGAAATAAAACTTTTTTGTAGAATATTATGCTATAATATTCAGATATAATTTTAAAAAAGCAGTACAAATAAGAATTTTAAGCAAAAACTTTCAAAAATTCATTTTTTCAATTTTAGTATTTTTACTTATTTATACCAATAAAAAGCATAAAAATTGTAAGAGAAAATTGTTTGTTTGAATTTTTCTATTAATTCAGATTTAAAATATTACTTTTAAAAGAAGGAGATACAAATTTCTTTACAGCATAGGAAAACCCACAACAAATATCCAGACCTGAAAGCATGCAATAGCTTTATAATTACCAATTCAGAAGTCAAACAACAAAACAAACAACAGCTTTATAATTATTTAGAACATTCAATTATGCCTGATAAACATGCTAAATTTTTATAAATCAATCTCAGTTTCAAAAATAAAAATATCTAAAAATTCTATTTTGTGAAATGAAGTGCTATCACCAGCTTTTTCTTGAAAATTATACTCGCAGCATAGTCTTCCGGATGTAGGCAAGGTGACAGCCGGCAATACGCCAAGGCAAGTTAAATTAACACAATAATTAAAAGTATGCATGAGATCTTTAAGAATCGAAAACTGAATTTTACTGATAGTGAAAAAATAACTTAAATATTGAACTTATGGAGAAGTCGAGAAATTTTTGTAATTGATAGTAAGTTTGAATAATTATTGGGTACATGTCAGCTAAACGTTACTGTCGGCTTTGTGTCCTATACAGAATATTTTAAATCTGAATTAATAGAAAAATTCAAACAATTAATAGAAATTAATTAATAGAAATTAAAAACATGAATTAATAGAAAAATTCAAACAAACAATTTTCTCTTACAATTTTTATGCTTTTTATTTGTGTTGACAGTTAAGTATCCCGTAGCTAAATGTCTTGACGGCTAACTCTCTGTGTCAGCAAAATGTCCTGTCGGCTAAATGTCCTGTCGGCTAAGTGTCCTTTGTCGGCTAAGTGTCTTGTCGGCTAAGTGTCCGTGTCGGCTAAGTGTCCGTGTCGGTTAAATGTCCTGTCGGCTAAATGTCTTGTCGGCTAAGTGTCACTGTCGGCTAAATGTCCTGTTGGCTAAATGTCCATGTCGGCTAAATGTCTTGTCGGCTAACTGGTGTCGGTTAAGTGTCCTGTCGGCTAAGTGTCCGCGACCGATTTTGAACAGCTTCCTATGTAAACATGTGCAAATAGCGATATTCTGCATCGAATATTACGTCATATTTTTGTTTCGAAAAGTATGGGTCGTACAGATATGCATTACTTTTGGCATTTTTAATGTACTCCAAATGAGGAAGTTGCAGTGCAGAGTTTGTGTGGTCTTGATAGGACAGCCCGTAAAGACAAAGAAATATATTTTTAACTCACTCTTAAAATAACGCTGAAATCATACCTGCAATAACCAAAAATACATTATTTGTTGAGTTTAAGGAGATACGTTCGTGCCTTGTTTAACGAACGTTATCCGTTCTGCGATGATGTCTATGGTGGAAGCTATTTTCTCTAAGTTACTATGTGAATAATTTTTATTTGTTCCTGAAAACGGTCCAGAACTGCAGAACACCGTTAAGTGTTTCAACATAGCACCAGTATCGGAACTCCAAGAGTTTATGAATTTATTAATTATAAAAATAATCACGTCCATGCGGTATATTAAACAGAAAAAAGCGAAAAAGTACAAAAACAGGCTTGCAATTGATTCGCTCACATTAATTAAACAAAACACTCAGTTTGGATTCATCTTTTGAAATTTTTCTGAAAAAAAACTCTTGTACAATGTAGCTTCCAATCCATACCTGTGGAAGGTATGGAAATACCTGTTCTAGATTCAGCCTCTCTTCTTTCGACTAAGTACGCTAACTTCCACGTGAAGCAATGTAGCTTCCACTGTGTTCACGTAACGACAACGCTTTGACAAAGTTGAAATGAGTGCCAACTTATTTTCAATAAATGACAATTTCTTGCATGTTCGAACTGATTTTTAATTTAAATTTCTCTAGTTTACTATGTTCAGAAGGTATTTATTCATGCAGTCTTTCTGAAGCACACTCCGTTATAACCTAATCAATAACGGTACTCTTATTTAATCATCTAGGGCACCGCATCTTCGACATCGACTCGGGCATGTACGCGCCCTTACATTCTCCGCCTACGCAGCACTTCACCATCATCTTCAACACTTTCGTCATGATGACCCTCTTCAATGAGATCAATGCTCGAAAAATCCACGGAGAGAGGAACATCTTTGAGGGCCTTCTCACAAACCCCGTCTTCTACAGCATTCTCGTTGTCACCGCCGCCGCTCAGGTACGTCAAAAATTTGGGTTCTTATAATTTTTGCTGCAGATTAAGCAGAAACAGATGAAACCATAGAAATGTGCTACTCAGTGATTTTCGAATCATAACGTGTAAAATGAGCGAATTAATTAGTACTAAATGATTAAATCTGTTTTAATCGTAACAACAGGATAATTCTGCTTACTTGAACGAATTCATAAAATTTGCTGATATATCAAATCCTTGCCTATTGTCATGCATATGTTCCAGCAAGAAACTAACTCATTTCCCGGCTAGCACGCTGGCGTGCCAGAGAGTTTTCTCGTTCACCCTCGGCCGTCACATATTTGTGCTAGTCTCTTGGACCGTTTTAAAAACTAACTTTTGCCACAAGATGGCATTGCTTGTCCATATAGGATTTAAGTTGCGTGTAGATTTGACACTCTACTCGAAATGAGAGAAACATGAGTCACTTGGCAGGGGAAAGAAAGCATAATGTAAACAAACAGGGGATCGCCTCTTTAACTCGCCACGTAATATAAACATTTGCGTTCCCGATAGTTCTCCGAATCCTTTTTTAGTCTTTTTTCCCTGTGCTTTGCAGGGTCTTTTAGGGTTACTGTGTGAAGTTCTGCATCGCTTTGTGTTCTTCCCTTTAAATTTTAGAAAAACCTTCACTGCAGCTTATTTTGGCGAGAAAACGGTATTTATCAGATGAAAGATATACTCGCATAGTAAATGAGCCAATTAATGACATAAATTACAGTGACGATTCATTTTCTAAAGTGATATTTCTAGTGATTCTGATAGAGGCATTTATCAGAGATTAAGCTGAGTGCCTGCCTTCCACTTTCCGTTAAAGATTTTGTTACTTGTTCTCGTAAATTGTCTTTCTTGTACTTTTTGTAATTAGTTTTGAAGTTCGTTAATGTGTTTTGTCAACTAAAGCTTCGCAATAATTTGAACAGCTCATTTGAAAATTATTTTTAATTTAAGCAATTTTCTTAATATATTTTCATGTAAAGTAAAGAAAAAAGACTATTGATTGCTAATTTTAACGTATATGATAGCTTAATTAATAGTCTGAACTGGTACCAAAAATGACGTTTCGACTTAAACTCTTTTTAATGATTTCTTTTCTAAAGTTAAGACTTACTACGACGCACCCGTCCTGTGGGAGCATTTCTTTTGACTCTCCTCCGTCCCGAGAGAACGTCTTAAACAAAGGCGCGCAGTCTGGAAATGGTTAAGGAATGCAGTGATTAAAATTTTAGTTGCCCAAAGACAATCTTGATGATCATTTTTATAACTGCTAAAATATTTCTTGAAATATATATTAATAATCTTTTTAAGTGCGCAGTTTTAATTAAATGCATTAAAAAATTGAAAAATAATTTTTGAACTATCATAACGTTCTTGGTTATATATGACTAAAATTAACAATGACGGATTTGATATCAAAATTGTCAAAGAAAATTAAGCTGAACTGAACATTGCCATTTTTATTCTATCACTTCTATCGTTCCTTAAAATTCCGTTAAAGATACAATATAATGCTTTTACGGAAATGCCACGCTTTCATTTTTAGCCACATATGACCAAGAATGATGAATATCTAAAAAAATATTTCTTGTAATTTCAAAACATTTGATTAAAACCATGAAACCATTTTCATACCGTCAATATATGCTTTTATATATACTTTATTTATTTATTTAGCCCATAAAAAGGGGAAAAACATTAAAATATATTTTATATTTAAAAAATATTAATATAAAAATAATCTTAATAATAAAAATATTAAAGAGACAATCACTACCTCCGACAATCAGAAATTATTCCCTGTAAGCATAGCAGTGATATGGGACATTACTTTTCATACAAAACTTTTGAATCTATCCAATAACATAAGATTACATTCTGTTGATTTAAATCTCTTTGCAGTTTTTATTTAAAATTCTATCATTGTTAGCAGGTCCTCGATTATTAGAGCCAGTAGATTGATTTTGAGGAAATCCCTCTAAATTGATAATTTATGTTAGGCTTCCCAAAGAGACATAATTTGAAAGATTACGTTTTTATTAGTCTAATGGTAAATTCTATTTCGCTATCTGCTAAATAAAAGTCCTGCTCTTTAACCATCAACTGAGCAAGTAGTTAATCAGAAACGTCACTATGTGGATTTGAATTTGCGGTTTCGATTTGAAGTTTACCTCGTAATAATAGTTTGCAAAGATAATCTTTTTTTATTTACTTTTTCTATTTCCATACTGAATTGTTAAATAAAACAAATTTTCAGATAGTTCAAAATTTAAAGCGATATTTAATACAAAATAAATTCAGTGGCTTAAATATATAGTTCCTAATTGAAAATGGCGGCATCAGATCTTATTTTCCTCAGGTTAACGACGACTTGATCGCTGTGTAACCATATTCAACTAGACACATTCACAACATCAAGCAACAAAGAATTCACAACAAAAGGAAATTTCTAAACAATAAAAGGAAATTTCTAAACAATAAAATGAAATTTCTAAACGAAATTTTCACGAGCCAGTTTTAAGCTCATGCTCGACTTCATAAAAATGCTTTTCAAGGACTGCATTAGAGGATGAGGCTTGTATTTCTTCAGATTTATTGAAAAATGCAATAATAACAATATATGATACATTAGAACGTTAATTTCTCGAACAGTTGACACCGATGCGACTTTTCACCAGCAACGAACTCTCCCCCTCTAAGATTTTTTTCTGCCGAGTTCCCGGGGTTCGAATTCTAAGTGCAAGGTCGCCAAGTTTGGCCCAAATATACGGTCTACTGGAAAGTTCTGTCCGTTTCTGGAATAAAACAAAATACAAATTTTTCATACCGTCAATAAACTTTATTAAAATTATATAATTGCCATTATTATTAATGACTTCTTGACAATTTGTATATCACATTTTTGAAAAATGATGTAACTTTTGATACGAAAAATTTAACTGGTGCTTGTTTGATATCTACTTCATTTTTGAATTTTTTGCCCTTCAAAAAAATTTTGTAAGGACAAAAACAAGTGATAGTCAAAGGGTGCTAAGTTCGGGGAATGTGGTGTATGGGACAGAATTTCCCAGCCTAGTTCTGCAATTTTTTGACGCGGCCCCAAAGCAGCATGTGGCCTGGCGTGATCATGATGCAGTACGATGTCCTTCCTTTTGAAAATCGCCGGCCTCTTTTCTTGGGCTGTTGTCTTTAAATTGTCTAATTGCTTGCTCATAGTAGCCAACAACAATGGCCTCACTATCAAGCGGCAGGAAAGAGGGTGTCCACAAGGCTCTTGCGCCGGTCCGTTGCTCTGGATAATCACCTTTAACTCCATACTACAACATGAATGGCCTTTGCACACAGATATTATAGCATACGCCGACGATGTAGCCCTTCTGGTGTCTGGCCGCACAAGAGATGAACTGGAACGGAATGCCACAGAAACCTGCTCGATATTCACGGACCTATGCAATAAACTTAAGTTAACCATCTCTCGGCAAAAGTCCGCAGCCATCGTAATTCCACGTCCTGGCACAAATCCCACAAGACGTCCATGTATAAAGCTACTGGGCAAGAACTTAAAAATAACGAAGACGATTAAATATCTAGGAGTCACTTGGGATCAAAGACTCACCTGGTTACCGCATCTCCAAGAAATACGTACAAAAACATCGACCATCGCAAGGAAAGCCAGGCAATTTCAAAATTTCAAGGGAGAAATTGGGGACAAAACCCCCATATCAGGAAACTATTATATCTGACAGTGGCAGAGAGAATAATTCTCTACGCAGCAGTCATATGGGCACAACCAATGAACAGCCGAAAGACCAAGCTACTGACCACAATTCAACGGCCGTTTGCATTAAACATCTGCGGAGGTTATCGCACAACAGCGTCCAGCGCCGCCACGATACTTGCAGGCCTGCTGCCATTACACATAAAGGCAGAGGCAGAGGCTACCTATGTACGAATCACTCATCACAGACATGAAGCCACATATGCAGGAATTACGTTCAGAACAACAGACTATGAACTCCCTGGCAGTGTGCAACACATCCACCCTGCCATCAAAGGTAGAGGGATCCATGTCAAAATCCAACATCAGCCATCGCACTCCAGACAAACGCACTTCCTGTGCGATTACACAACTGTTCACTGATGGATCAAAACATGATCAGGGAGTGGGCTGCGCGTTTGCTCACTACGAACATGGCACACTAGTAAAGGAATGGAAAGGACATCTCACTAACAGCAATAGTATTTTCCAAGCAGAGGCACTAGCAATATTGAATGCGCTACGACATGCCCTCAACCTTTCCCTTACCAATGCGACTTTTTACACAGATAGCATGTCAGTGCTACACGCACTCAGGGATCATCACCACGCTTCACCCATCATCATAGATATACAGTAACTTTTACGCAATAATCATCAAGCCCGCTTTAACAAACATGGTATGGGTAAAAGGACACTCCGACAACGAAGGGAATGACGTCGTCGCAGACCGACTGGCTAATGAGGCTGCCAACAACATCCACGCTCAAACTATAAGTGCCCCTACCCCCGTCTCACACCTCAAGAAAACTCTGCGTACCATCTGTAAAGAAAAGTGGCAAGAAGAATGGAATAGTGGCGACACAGGGAGAAGGACGTATAACTTCCTACCAAAGGTAGACACGGAACGTCTTATAACAATAGCCCCACTGACACAGTACATAACGGGTCATGGCCCATTTCCATCTTATTTTATGCGTCATGGCATCTCAGCATCTGACAATTGTGTCTGTGGCATGCTAGGTTCTCCCGAGCACTATCTATTTGACTGCAGTCTAACAACAAACCACCACTTACCACATCCAACGAATGATAGAACACTTTACTATCGTTTCATAATCAAACACCCGCCAGCTATAAGGAGCATCTGCGCAGTTGTACAGCAAATCAACGCCCTAGGACAAGACATTTGCGAGCCACAGTAGCATGGTACTGCAGACAATGTACTCAACTATTAGATATTCGCAGTATGTACACATTCTGTAATACACATTCCACATTCAATTTCGAGCCTCGTGTTAACATCTGCTTTCAATAGCCACCAACTTGCAGATATAAAATGTTACTGACATGTTTATCAGTGTGAAGCACTGGGCACCCAATGGAATGATGTGTTATCGTAAATCGAAATATATAATATCCGTACAATGCACGAATGTAGTGTATGCAACGAAATATGTAATTCATGCAACAGAAGCCCCTAATGAAAGTATGTACATTATGTATTATGGGAACTGAGCATATTTCCGCACAGCACTACTGCTTTACGCACACCTTACTATGTCTTATATGTTTCCTCTGAGTGTAATATTTGCATTTATGTGCTCTACGTGTTTCCATATGTATTCTATGTGTCATGATATGTATTTTCGTGTGTGTTTCTATGTCTTTATGTTACGTAATTACGAGTGTGTTTTTATGCTTTTACGTTTAATTTTGTATATCTATGTGTTTCAGCTTATATGAGTGTTTTAGTGTTTTAATGCTATCCTTTATATTCTTTCTAAGTTACTTTGTGTTATTAACAACGTCCTATGTAAAAACTACCCGACATCTAGCCCCTGTATGGCCATGTAAACTCCTGGTGCAGCCTCACGGGGCTCCAGCGAGTTGCTTCTTCGAGATAGTGGAGGACGTGGGACATATGCCTGTTTACCTATGTTATACGTCAGGCGTCCCCGTCCTCCGTCACCTGTCACCTGACAGTACTTCTCCCAATTGAGCTTTTTGTTTGGTTTTAAAAGCTCATAATGTACTGGTCCTCGAATGCCCCCACCATATACACAACATTCTCTTTATTCAGGGTCAAATTTGGTTTAGAATTGGGAGGGCTAGGTTTTCTGGGTCCACAATATGCCCTTACGATGTTTCTATGGGTGATCCACTTTTCATTCCCAGTTATCATCCGGTCCAAGAAGGGCTTCATTCTGTTTGGAGCAAGCAGAGATGTGCATATGACGACTCGATCATCCAAATTCTTCTGACTTAATTCATGTGGCATCCATCTTGAATATTTCCACACCAATCCTATCTTCCAAATATGGTTCGAAATGATTTGAAGAGCTGAATTAAGCCTTTCTGCGATCTCCGATGTTGTCACAAAAGGATCTTGCTCCAACATGGTCGTAACAGCACCGTCGCCGAGCAAAGATGATCGCCGAGAACGAGGCTTATCAAAAAGTTCGAAATCACCTGTTCCAAGTTTGTCAAACCATCTTCTGCTTGCCTTGTAAGAAATTGTACCTTCAACAAACACTTTCAATAAATTTCTACATGCTTCTGTATCATTTATTCTTTGTTGAAATTCGTATAAAATACAGTGGCGTTAATGAACTTTATCAGTGGCCATGGATACACTATCGCTCCACACGTAAGACTAACGTGAATCAATTTTGGTTTAGTTAACTTGCTACTTCAGTATGTATACATTACGCGATAAAAATAGAGAGTCGAACATACGGCAAATGAACATGTGCTTATGTGTCGAAAATTGTTGTTATAAAACGGACATAACTTTCCAGTAGACCGAATACAATTAAAAGCAGCAACAATACTTTTTCCCTTACCAAGAGCCATGTAAAAATTCAGGTTGCGTATATTTTTATTAAACGATATAATGTGACCAAATTTGTTAAAATCTTAAGGTTTAATAGTCTGCAGCAAATAGTCAAAAGATATTTAAAAGTGCACGCTCTTTTTCCCCCTCCAAATTCTGCTTAGGAAAAAAAGGTGAAAAAGTGAAATTTTACTGTTTATTAGGCATATTAGATCTACTAGATATAATAGCTGCACCAACTGTCTTACTCTTTTTCGTTTTAATTTACTCTCTTTGGCACTCAATATCTCAGTTTTATTTACCGTTCATGTAGAGCATGTGTATATCTTTATTAATACCAGCAATATCTTAAATTGCTCATTGCCTTCTGCAGGTTGTAATTGTTCAGTTTGGAGGCCGGGCTTTTTCGACAGCTCCTCTCTCTCTGGACCAATGGCTGTGGTGCTTGTTTTTAGGTGCCGGGGTACTGGTGTGGGGCCAGTGCATCACCTCCATCCCCACAAAGAAGATCCCCAAGACGTTCACGTGGGGTTCGGGCAACCCAGAGGATCTCGACGCTGGAGGATCTTTGGTGGAGGACACATCCAGGGGTTCAATCTCTCAGGAAGTGAAGAGAACGGGACAGATCCTTTGGATCAGAGGACTCACACGCCTTCAAACTCAGGTAATTGTTGTGCCTCATCCTGCATTCTATTTGTAGTTTAACAGTCAGTATAATTTTTCAGATATGCTTTGAATACTCATAAGCACATTAGTAACAAATGAAAACATTTATAGTGTCATAAATAGTGAATATGTCATGGACATTTATTGTAATAACTAAAGGTAGTCCTTAATCTATAAAGAAGGTATAACATTTCTGCTTAGTTTTTAGAAGCAAACATTTGTAAATCTAAATATCACTGAGATGGCGAATACTAAACGCTGTTACTACGTAACATCACATGTGTGCTGTGCGGGATACCTAAAAGCAGTGTGAGACAACTGAAAGAAAATACAGTGTTTACATAAATGATTTTTTTTTTCTCAAATTAATTTTTCACACTAGTGTGAGGTTGCACAGAAACTATTTTCCGACTAACGAATATTACAAGTAGTTTAATGATTTTACGCTTTGGGAAAAATAACTTACAGTACAGTAGGCCATACTTTTAATAATGCATGTTACACGTTATTACTATTGCAAAGATTATATATTATTTAACCATATTTTGTGTAATAAGCTCATATTTTATATAAAATAAAAAACAATATAAAAAAATCTGAAATGTTTCAGATTTTAAATTCGTCCAAAGGGGCGTTTTTTAACATTTTGTGTGTTACCTTTCTTTTCGCATTTAAAGCATAAGATCCAGTTCAACAGCAATGTCGCAAAATAGTTTTAAAATGAGCATATCTTTAGAATTTTCCATACAGAGACTCGCGCGCTGGAGATAAAAATGTTTTTTTCTGCACAACGTTGCCATTGCTCGTTTTGAAATCCTTGAGTATGTTAATCGAAAATTCGTTAGAGTTTTACAAAATAGGAAATCGATAATAAACAAATTTCAAATTTGATCTTCCACATGCCCATATTCGTTTGAGGATTACGTCATTCAAAATTCGATGGCTCTATGTACCGTTATTTTATCACAATGCGATACATATCTTTATGCAGATTCTTTATTATTTAATTTCTTCAAATATAATGCAGGACTCTAACATTTGGTGGCAACAGTTTGAAAAGTGAACCGACATTTATAGGAGTCCGACGCAAAATGCCAAAACGAAAGTAATAGTCCTTCGAGACCCAACTCCTTTTGGACTAATAAAAATTAGTAATTAAATGTATAAATTATCGTAATCCTAATAATTTTTCTTCAACTATTATGTTCCACTTATCGCTTGAAGCCAAATATTCAGTATGACTTTGATTTTAAAAATAATGGCAGCATTTGTCATTCTACGAAACTGGTGAAATCCAGTACTTCTTAGTTAAAGCGCCCCCTACTCATATTTGGCGTTTTAGATTTTCACCAAGACCAAGAGCAATCTGTATTTGAACCGATTTCGCTTAGATAGTCCTCCACGAAGGCATCCTTAGGCATTCCTTCTCTTAGGTAGATAGCCCTCGAATGCGTTGCCCTAATCAAGTAAACCAAAAAAACCGTATATTCATAAAGAGGTCCTCGGTTTTTCAGAAATTCAGTAATTCTTGAATTTCTTTTAGTCTGCAATTCCAGCCCTAAAGTCACAACATAATGGCTTGACTTTGTTAGAATGACTTTTAAAAACCGCGTATGCTTTAAAAAATATCAAAATGTCTTAAAAATTTATACATTAATTTCAAAAATTGTTTTTGATTATCTGATAATCAATATTCAAGATAAATTTCATGCTGTTAAGTCATCATCAATAAAACAGATCCTGCAGAAAACAAGAAATTACATGAGAATCGTAAGAATGACAAATAATAGCAAAAATCTCCGTAATCTAAAATTCTTCATAAAAATGCAAATCTGACGCTAGAAAGATATTCATTAGATAATCATTATGAGAACCATATGCACATTTTATAACCAGCAAACATTCTTTATTTAGTATTCTATTTTGAAAACATAACTAAAAGAAAAAAAATTTTTATGTAAACCGAAGTTAAATTTAAGATCCATTAAATGAATAATGGTATTGTAAAGGCATTAGGTTTTTTTTTTAAACTGGAGACATGAAAAATGAGCAATGCCTCTTTTGTATACGTGCGGAGTGTGATACCGTTACATCACGAAGGCACGCTAGAAGAAAAGAAAAAATACCTTATAGTATTATCATAATTAACTTTTATTTGATACTGTTCCATAATTTTGCATAGCATCTTCAGAAACAAAACAATAATGTTCATTCAAGTTCTTGCAATTTTCTTTTAATTTTCACAATGGAAAAAAAAAGCCGCATAAAGTGGATTACGCCTTTTAAACAGGAAAAAAACCATGCCGGGCGCAAATTCTGAAATTAAATTTTTTTTAACTTTTAAACATATCAGAAAGAAAGTTAATTTAATAGATTAGGGACTGCCTTTTTTTTTTTCTTCATAAACTCTGTTCTCCCAGCCCTTTCCCGATACCGTTTCTCCCTTGCCCTTTTATCCCCAAAATATCTGAAAGATTAATACCTGAATTAATCTTGAATTCATAGCATGGAATAGCGGTACATGAACCAAGGTATATTTTGCATGTTATTGTGATCCATTTTTGCATGTTTTTATGCTTTGTCGTATTCATATTATATCCATTTTTATCTGTGATTATTAAATTTGTATTTGCTTGTGGCATTTCGATGTATTCTGTTGAAAGGGCTGTTTTATTTTTCAGTGTCTGCAAACTTAAACCATGGATCTGATGTATTGTGAGACACGCAAATGTTTAAATTTTTACAAAGGCCTTTTAGTTTCTTCGATTTTACAGTCTGTTTTTCCAATCACGCGTTTTATTCAGGCAATACAAGATTGTTTTTAGATATTGCTTGAATTGGCATAGGATCTGGTTTAAAAACCTATATTAACTTGTGTTTTAAAAATGGAGTTATAAAACATTTAAATAAAACCCCATATTAATTAGATACATTACTTACTTTTCATGAAATTATAAGAATAAGATCGTTTCATTATTTATCGTTATTTACAGAGGAGATCGTTATGTATCAATATCATTTCTGAGAAGACTGATTTTTTTTTTTTTTTTTTTTTTTTTTTTTTTTTTTTTTTTTTTTTTTTTTTTTTTTTTTTTTTTTTATGTTGTTGTTGTTGTACAGTTTCCTTTATTTTTCTCAGCACTGTATCAAATGTACATTTTGTTGTATAGTTCAAATTATCCTTTTTGGAAAACGTGGCCTTTTAGATTTATTATTTTTAAATTAAAAATATTAATTTCCTCATATTAAAGAAAAGTGTTGCTAAATAAGTAATTTCATCTAAAATTCTATAGAATACTTTTCCCTAACAAATCTGTCTGATCAAAATCTTCCCATAAATTTATAGCTACAGTAAAAAAAGAGATGCAAAACAATTCTGTACTAGGCATGTATTTAAATGACGTCAGAAACAGCCTTTATTTACTGTAATACTTTATTTTAAAATGCATCAATTAGATAGATGTATTATCAAAAAATAAAATAAAGATTCAAGTTATAAAGAAGTTCATTTATTGCTTTGAAATTACTCTGTTACAGATCGGTTAAATTCGAAATATAAAGATATTATGTTTTGCAAAATGGCAACATTCTGAGAACTTGTTATGCTTGAGAAGAATAGAAGATAGATAATCTTAACATTTCGGACAGTTGCAACTCTTTCCGAGAGAAGGGAACGATATGACAATAGTAGTATAGTTTAATATAACCTAACGTAATTGTCCACAAATTTTGGAGCTTTTAACTCCAAAAATCTTATTTTCCCAGAAGATAATATGTTTCGGGCTTTTATTTTCATAAGTAAAGTTTCGTAAATTTCTAAAGTTTAATATACATTTTGGGCAAAATAAAGCTTCTTTACTGTTGTGTCAGGATGTTATTAACGTTCATTTTCATTCAACGCATCTTCGTGAGGCTCACAATACCTCAAATCCTACAAAGCAATTTTTTTTTTTTTCAGTTTTCTTTTATTTTTTACAGTTCTCGTTTTAGTTTTTGTGGTGATCCCTACCCTCTCCGCTCCACCACCAGAAGCGAGATGACACAGAAAGTGCCATAAATGTTTGGCGGTACTTGATCTAAAAGTGATATATTTTCCCTATTATTTAGCCATTTCTGAGTGACTTAATTGTTGAAAAAGTTATTGAAAATTTTGCTTTTTTTAGTATTTCGTTCATTGTTTGGAATAGCCCAACGACTAACCAGGTGCTGCCATTGTGTTTCAGCTTTCATTGCAATCAAGTGTGTCGTTGCAGGTGATTGGCGGGGAGCTGCAAGACAGATTGATACCAGTTCCCTATAGTAAAGCCGCTACCGATGAAGCGGTAAGTTTAAAATCTTGATTCCGGACGCATCCACGAAAACGACTATTTCTCCTTTCAGTAATTGATATTTCAGTAATAAAGGAATCAGCATATTTTAGATTTCCTCGTGAAAGAAGATATTTGTTAGAACATACTAATATCTAATGGCTAAAACTACAGCAAATTAATTTGGATCTGATTGAAATTGTCATCTACATACTCCTGGGCCATACCCTAAATTTCATATTAAAAGTTTTATAAAAATGTTCCTTAGACTGCATAAAAATAGTACTGGAAGAAAATATTTTCACTTGAAATTTTCATAAGATTTTAACTTGAGCTTCATTTTTATTTTAATTTTAACCTTTTGGTAATTTTGTACACATAAATTTTTAATTTTTGAACATTTTAATATCATTAGCCCTTTTCTTCAAATCTCTATATTCTTTCGTTGATGTGTATGGTCCACATCTGACATTGGGTATTTACTACTTTTCCGTTTTTTATCAACTTCCTTATGAATAATAACTGGTTTGCATTTATTTGCGTACATCATAATACTAGTATGTCACTAATATATGAGCTATTTCTTACTGAAACGCTGTATTAGCTTGTGGTGTTGCGTGGCCCCAACTTGCCCGCAACAATAGTAGTGACTGCTATATACTGGAAAATACACAAACTCTTAAGAAGGGTTTAACTCCCTTTTTATTCCACTTTAGAAGTTATAGATGCATTCACTTGACGCTCACAAACTACGCCGACCCGGCGGTTAAATAAAAATAAGAAAGTACAACTAAAAATGAATAATAACAAGTCACTACCTACGAGGCTCTCTAAACGTAACTAACTTAACCGCGTTCTAAGACACAGCTGAAATTTCAGCAAACTTTCTGAATAAAAAGTTGAAAGATTCAATTAACTGCCGAAGCAAGCACACAGGCCGAGACGCGCGGTTCTTAAATTTCTACCTAGCAAGCTTCACGTTCGTGAATCAAGAAAGCACACCTACAAACTCGTTTCTCTTCTATTTAACTCAAAAATACTTCTGCTGAAAATTTGAATACTTTGCGCGTTCTACTAAAATTTACATACTCTGGCATTGGCAATTCCAGGGGAAAGTTAGGCTTGACAGGAAAGATAGCTTAAAATAAATGTTAGTTAAATTATATATAAACCCTGCAAGCTGACTTGACCAAAGATAATCTATTTTTTATTTTTATCTTTATCTTATCTAATTTACACATTGTTGCTTTGTGCATGCTTTTTAATATATGCCATTGATTATTTCTGATTATTTTTTATTTCATCTTAATTACCATTAGTTAGATATGCGTATAATAGGTAGTTAGTAGGTAGTTAGATAGATAGATTTATAGACAGGTAGATAGGTAGATAGATTATGATAAAATAATTGATAAACTTATTTTCTGTAATGCTATGGATCAGTAATGAATAAAATTAGAAAAACATGAAAAAATAAATAAAGAATATAGGCTGAAATATATAGTCAACAATGTTTTTACTCCTTATTTATATTTCATACTTTCCAAAGCTATAAATCTATTATATTACAACAAGTGTTGTTAATAACCTTGTCATTATATTCTTCACCCTTAATTTTAAAAGCAAATTTTAGAGTAATTCGTTAAAAATTGATATTTTTCTTTAAAGGTCACTTAATTATTCATTTATAAATATGGACGTAAAATGTTCATAATTAAGGTTCACATTTTGAAAAGTTCTAACTCGAGGATCGTTCTAAAAAATAATTTTCCATTTAACATGAAAATTTCTATGGTAAAGAAATTTTGTTTAAACAAAAGAGTTGGTTGCAAATATTTGAGAGATAAACAGACAAATAAAGAGAGATAAATTGTGCTGCGACATCGTTGAGGATAAAGAAGAGGACTTGAATTTTGCATAGTACACTCTGTATTTGAGCAAAAGCTATTTCCTGTTACCGGTAAATACTCAATCGTAGAATGTAAAATTTCATTTAATACGTTGTAGATATGGATTGTAATGCTGGACTTGGTATGCACTGATTTGGTTTGCACAAAAGTTGGTTAGTGATATCATCACAAAAATTGGTTAGTTAGACATAGGATATCTAGGAAAAAGAAATCACATATTCGTGATTTCTTTTTCCTAGATATCCTATGTCTTTGAAGTTTAGATTACATATTACAATCTTTTACTAAATTACAGCTAATGATCTAGTTATTGTTAACATGTATTCGCAATAAAGTTGTAGAATCGGCCGAATTCTATGTGTATAATATGAAATGAGAATTTCTGTGCTAAGGACGCAGTTTCCATAAATTATTATAGACATTAACTTAAACTTCAAATATTTTTAAATCCACATATGTGATAAAATTATGTATTTTCACATTTATTTAATAGAACATGTGTTGTCTTCCAAATCGTTTCCGTACTTAAAGTATACGTGATATTATATTTACGTATCTGCAATTTATAAATTTCCTATTTATGTCATTGTCAAATTTTTCAGACATGATATTAATTAATTTATAAGCTCTCAAAGTCATAAAAAATGAACCCATGTAGACATTAACAAGAAAGAACTATTATAAATACTAATGCTCAGACATAAATTCAGAGCATTAAAACTTTTGTTCCTTTTAAATGGAGCAACTTATAACAAAAGATTTTTCTAATCATTTTAACTTCTCTTAATCTATACATTTCAATAAATATTTTGGATCTTTATATTTTACGAAGTTGATTTTAAAGCAGTACTTAATTGATTTCGGGAATCATACAGTTACCAAAATGAAATAACTAAGTCATACTGAAAAGCCCGTTAATCTTTTTGATTTCATGAATGAGTCGTATGTCTTTTAGCGATTCTTGTAACAGATGCATCGATCACATACTAAATTTATTCTGCATTCTATGCACATTTATTTGATTATGATCCACTCTTTTCCAGATTCGTGTGGTGAGTGCGTTCCGCAGCGGGATGGACTCGCGCAAGAATTCTACAACGGACGCAAGCGGAGCCCTAGGCCGCTCTGCCAGCAAGCGCGTTCCCCTCTTGCATCCCAACGCCACGGCCTCCACCAGCGCCGATGTCATCAAAGATGCAACTACCAGTAATGACAAGAAGAACTCCGCTCACAACGAAACCCCTGTTTGAATTACTAACCCTTTTCGCTCTCTTTTCCTTCTCTCTCTATCTCTCTAATATCTTCTTTTTCTCGTGCGAGGAGAAAGGAAAAAAAATCCAAATTTTTTTTCTGGCTGTCTCACTCGTAGTACTAGAAGACACTACTTAGCGGCCTCAAGAGCAAGCCGTTCGATCCGGTTCTGTAACACTGTGTGTGTTTTTATAATCCAGTAGAAGAAAGAGAAGACTGTAGAGAATATATTATATATATAAATATATATATATATATATATATAAATATAAAAATAAACAAGGGAAGAAGTTAGTTCCCATAGACCAAATAGATCATCGCTCTTTAGTGTGTTAGATCGTGACTACATAAACAAAAACATTGCTGAGGTTCAACAGTGGCAACTTAATCACGTGTACATTTGTAAAGTGCTCAACAACAACAAATTAAAAAGAGGATGTCGTTCGCTGTTCTGAAAATATCAAAATGGTGAACTGTGGTGATAGTCGCAGACACCTGAAGACTTTCTCGATCCAACTTTCCTCGTTCGATTTCCTTCAATGAGTGCTGTCGGTGCCCATTGCAAACGTCCGGTGCCACTCTTTGACGCATCGAGATTTTGACAACGAGTTACAAAGCCAACAAATAAAAAATTAAAAAAAACTCCATGCCAAGTTCCTCTTCTTCGCTTTATGTTCTTCGAGCTGCAAGGAGGACGAAGAATGCGATGGAGACGACGTCGAGGAAAGGGTGGTCAATAATTAGAAATCTCTTCCACTAATAAATACCCTTAAATTCATCGGTGGCTATCTAAATGTTGGGCATGGAAACCCATTTTTAGATATTGTAAATACTTTAAAAACGCCGACCCGCTAACTTAACTATTAGAACCGAATTTGCAGGATAGAGGTGAAATAATAGATTGGTGGTGTTTCAAAATGAACCGAGTGCTTTCTTAAAATAGAAGTGCAAGAAACACGACCAAATACAGTTTTCTGGCCTCTTTAATTTTTAATTAGAATTTTAAAGCTTCAACAAGAGTTGCGCTCTGATGTGGATTCTGTCAGTTTTATATCTTAACCCTTGTCAACGAAATACTCGCGCATGCGCAATAGAATTTATAGTTTATGTAAATCAGGAACGTAAGTCATGCAATTTTTCGAATGTACGGTATCGCTGCGATGCGTAGTTAGAATGTAGGATGCAGAGGAAAGGGGGTCATCTCCCATTCTACGTAGATGTAGCTTTGCAAACAACGGTGCTGTAAAGTTGGAATACAGGTATCCCTTATATATAAACCACCAGATACTTAATTGATGAATATCAAGTACAACTCATGAATTACCTGAGAAATAATTTATCGTATCACGAAAATTAAATTTCACAATACCTTGATGAATTTTAGGTGCACATATCAAAATCAACATCTGAAAATAAAATTAATGTTACTATATTATGTGTAAATACATGCGTAGTAAATATATGGATAAAGAAAAATTGTATAAAAGTAGATTTAAAGATATAAAACTTTTTAAAATGCTCAAAAAATTTCAAAAAATTTTACTGCGCATTTAAAAAGCAATTCATAGGGAGAAAACTGAATAGGAGACAAAGTAAATATTTTTAAACTTACTTTTAGAAAATTAACATTTCTTAACCTATTTTATCATTCTTAATTAATCATTAAAATGAAATATTTATTGTAGAATACCGAAGTTCTAATATTCCTGCACTTTCTCACCTAGCATTATCTTCCTTAACTTATGAATGTTATATGATATGTTAATATGAGAATCATATTTTTTAGACACGACAGTGAATTCGAAAATATATACATGCTTTACTTGGTATGCAAACCTCAAATTATATCATTTATGGTTAAGGTTCTTCAACAAACGTAAGCCACAAGTCGCAATTTTCAGTATGATTGATTATATATTTTAACTCGTTTGGAGTAGTTTGAAATCTTTAATTCTCAAGGATGCACTTTTGGGAAGCTTTAGGAAATTGGATAAAATCATAGCTTTATATTGAAGTCTCTTGCATTCCTTGTCTAAAATCCTTTTTTGTCAATTAATATATGCGTATTATTTGAATGTTTTATTACTGAGAAAGATCTATGTTCAAAAATAAAAATGTATGTCAATTAATTTATTAATGTAAATAAATTAATTAAAATACATTGTAGAAAATTACATAATAAAAATTCATTTATTAATTTTCACATAACATAGGGATACCTGTATAGTTAAAAATTTCTTAATTTACGGTTTACGATTTCAGTTACTTCTACTCTTTAAAATAACTTACTCCTATATTATACAAGTTTAATATTGTCAAAACGTTTGCTACAAAGCAAATGTATAGAACTTTAATACTAAAGAATTTGTAAATATGTCATTTGTAGTAGAATAAGAAAACAAAATCGTGTCTTGGCGTTAAACAAATATTTAACAATTTTTCTATTAAATGCAACTAACAGGGAAAGATCGGAATCGAAGTCAAAGAGATAACATCGCTTTCTCTTATATACCTCTAATCATCAGTATAACTATACATAAGCAGCGTCATAAATCCTTGCACGGCATATCATTTTTTGCTGCTTTCTCAAATAAATGAGAAATTTTTTTGAAAAACAATGTAAGACAAAAAGAATTATTGAATGTTCTCACACATTCGGACAAAATATTATCATGCTTTGTACAAAAAATAATATTGCATTCATCGAAATGTATATAAGAGTTCGTCTTAGCAAGTCCTTAAAACATTCCTTATAAATGCAAACCCATTAAATGCTTAGACGATGTGGTGCTGTAGTTGATTTTTTGAAATTTAGATCAGGTTTCATAACTGCATATCGTTCACGATGTATGAAAGCCATGTTTATAAATTATGGTATGCATTTTTAGTTCCTTTTTAGCCTTATCCAAGCCGAGATATTTTGCATAGACATTATACAGGGCTTTTGGCCACTTTTAGAGAAGGTTTGATACAATCATTCTTCCTAATTCGCTCGAAATTTTGCAAGATATTATGAATTAAAGCAGTATGTGCAATATTTATTTTCACTTTCAATCCAAAATTATATTGTTTACATTTTAAGTTACAAACTTTGAATTATATTATTTAAGTATCGTTACAGTGTTTCAGTCTGATGATTCAAATCTTAACACATTGATCTAGTTAAATGTGATTATTAGATTGAAACCTTGACCTTAATCTAGGATTTCGTGGTATTGTAGATTTTAGCTACAAGTAAATGAATCGCTTAAAAGTTTTTGACATGTTCCACATTAGAAAAATAGAACGTAAAGAAAACTTCCCAGTTATGTTTCTGAATTCCTTGACCTCATATTTGCAGCGTAAATTGAATTTCGCTGAATGAATAAATTTTTAAAAAAAATTTAATAAAAAAGAACTGAAATTATTTTAAAACAACGAACTTTTATCAAAGAAACTTTCTTAATGTAATATAAATTAATATTGTTGGAGAAACTCCTCGGGTAAAAAATTTTAACATTGTCTAAATTTCCATGTTTCAAAATTCATGGATTTTTATATCTACAAAAACAAGAGGCGAAATATAAATCACTATTCCTCATTTTAAGATGTAATTTTTGTATTCTGTAATTATAAATTCAGAAAGCTTGGTGTTTTTTAATGTTAGACTCACGAAATCTTGTTGGAAAAGTTGTATTTTGATTAATATGAAAATTTAGAATATAATAATTTAATCACTTTAAAAGCGAGCAAATTTTAATACGAAGGAAAATTTTCCCTAAATTTATATATTTCGAAAACTTTTATTGGTATTAAATTACTACATAAAGAATAGAAAACATGAAAATGGGAAATTTTCATATTGAAAAATAGTTATTCATTTTTTGAAGAATATATAAAAATCCCTGCGTCGTCTCCATTCATTCTATATATATACATATATGTTTCCTCCAGAATTTATCAAAGAAAAAAAAAGTTTTTTGTGTCCTCTTCCTCCTTTTTATCACGGGACCATTCAGTGCGAATTCTTTTAGTGTTGTTTGTTTGCTTTTTTTTTCTTTGCACATGGAATGGAAATTTTATTTCATTGATTTTTGTTGTATGTGTGTGTATGTCTTTACCTGCTTTGCACTGGCGGCTTTCAATAAAATCATTGCATGAGTGTTTCCCAAATTTTAAAAATAGTCTTTAAAAAATTTTTTTCGAGAAGTTTCTGGCATTCCTTATAAAATTTTGTATCTTAGAGATTATACGGTTAAAAATTTGCTCATGAAAACTTCATATAAGCAAGTATATGATATTTAATCATTGTTATCGTTACTTACCGCAGACTTAAACAAATTTTATATTTATTAGTTAATTCAAACTATACATATCAAACAGAGATGAGGAAATAATACTAGCGAGTATACTAATTAACCCAAAAATTTAACTGAGAATGTTTATATGCCCATAAGGGGTAAAGTATAGTAAGTATCTATAATAATGTATAATGTTTCACACAGACGGTTAAACAGTAAACATGCAGATAGAATCACTGCATAAATTTCCCACTTTTCATATTTTAAAAGAAATAATAATTAAAACATATTACTTATATTTATAAATTTTAAAATACCTTATTTATAACGAAAAATAAATAATTAATTTAATAGAAAGGCAATAAAAATTTTATTTAATTGAAACTCAAGTCACCAAAGAAGAAATTAAAGCAAAAATGACTGTATGTTTACTTACTGTACACTTACGAAAAAAAATCTCAACAGTTTAAAGGCACATATATATATATATATATATAAAAATTGGTACTTCAAAGTTCGAAATATTCCAAACTAACTGTTACTAGGAATAAAAGTTCTCAGATCTTTCTCTGTTCCATATTTTTCTGAACAAAATGGGAAGATCTATGTAATTCTTTAACATTTGTAAAAGCGTATTAATATTTAAGAGTCTAAACCTAAAATTATATTCATAAAATAATAACTTAGTATGTAAATAAATCTGCATTGCAGTTATAAAAATGATTTAAATGGCAAACTTATGAAATTTATCGTTTTCGCAAATTTTAGTATTTAAATATGTTTATATAGAAAAGTCAGCTGAACTTTTAATTAAATTTAAAAATAATTAAAATTTCAGTTTCAGCTTTTATTTAAATTCCTTAAAAGAATAAATACTAAATAAAATTTGCTACAGAAATCACACAGTAACAAATTTTTTAAGGAACATTTTTTGATATTTTTATGTTTTTATCCACATTATCGTAAACAAATTAGAATTCCGGACTTATTATTCGTAATGAGGTGGGCATGTAAAAACTTTATGTGAGGTATTTTAGTTTTCTGTAACGATTTCCTGATTTTCCTTCATTATCGTATATATATACATATGTAAAATATTTTAGGGAACACAGTTTTAAAAAGAATTTTAATTAAATGATTCGCAACCATTTAATTAAAATATTATTTGTAATATTTAATTTTATTTGTAGATGTAAGCCCAATTACGTAAAAACACATGCTGATCATGGCTACTGTTGGAAATTTTTTACAGTGAACTGATAAGTTATTGTGCTTGATGTAAGAAATCTTTCCAATTTTAAAATAGTATGCTTAAGTTACATAGTGCTAATTATTAAACACTGCCAATTTTTGTATTCGTCTGTTAAAGCTATATATGGTATTTGTGCATGAAGTTTTAGCATACATTAGCATCCTATACGTAATAGATATCATTTTTTGATTTGTATTCTACAGTTTTCTGAATGTTATATTTCCTTTTCTATGAAACTATAATGATGATTTAGTCCTTGTGAGACATTATAATGATAATAATGTAAAGTACATAAAGAAGTGTTTTCGAGGTGTTGCTATAGCTTATTACTGCATTAATGTTTGCCTTGGTATAAAAATAAATCTTTGGAGAATTTTTCTCTGTCCTGACACTGATAATATTTAAGTCAGAATGTTGTAAATGTATGTTGAAGTTTTATTTTATACGAAATGATTAAATTTCGTATTTTCCCAAAGTTATGACTGAAGTTCTAAAGCTTTTCACTCTTTAATAACTTTTGATTGAAAGGGTAAGTCTGAAATAGATTCATCGTTCTACGAAGTGAACAAGTAACGTACTTTAAGTAACATATTGTATACCATTAAACAAAATATTAAAATATTTAATACTCAGGAACAATAAATCAACGTCATTAATTAAGAAATAATAACATATAAAGTTTATTTTATTTTTTCTAACTGATACTAAATAACTAGTTTGAATACTATGTCAAAGAAAAACTTTTATAAAGCGTTCTTAGTCAGTTCAAAACTCAGTTTTAATTAGTTGCTTCAGATTTATAAAGAAATCTCTGTTCCTCTGTAATTATGCTCGTAAACCAAATTTTAAAAGGTGAAATTGAATAGTAAATTGTTTTACCTGTTTGTTTATTAATAAAATATTTTCGTTTATAATATTTTTTTTATTTTATTTCAACTAACCTTAAGTTTTTAACTAAAATTGTCATACAGCTTTCTTATATTTAATGCAATGCAAGCAGATCTTTTTCCATAAGTGAAGCTTTGCCAGTTCAGAAACAGACCAAAAGAAATTTTTGTAATATTATGTCAAAGCAGAAAAAATGAAATGAAGTACAAATTTAGCTCTTCTAATTATATTTAGGTCAATCGAAATATTTGCCCTTTTCATGCCGTTTACATTTCTCCAGTTTTGGCTTGTACGTATTAAAATACTTTTCTCCTGAAAGAAAATAGCAAACACGGAGTTAGAAATTATCTAATGTAACAAAATGTTCGAAATGAGAAAGGAAGTTGATTTAATTTCGCCTGATAAGCATACATTCGTTCAGTTCTTTTAATGTTGCAACAGCTGCTATTAAAGTACTATTATAAGCTGAAGAAATTTTAATATGTACATTTGATAATGATGTCATGGATTAAAATAAGCAGTAAGGCTAAATTGTTGGACTTGAAAACTTTGCTTGCCATTAACTTAAACCGAGTTTAAATAAATAAAGTTCAGACTATGAAGTCGTCCTTATAAGTAAAGATTTCTAATGCATCAACCTAGGTGCGCGAAAATAGCAACTCAACAGGAGGAGGGCCGCCAGTGTGGATTATGGACTTATAAATAATCTTAGTGAATAAATATTTAATTTCATGGATGTGTCCCATTGCTGTGCTTAAGTCATGACTACTATACAACGAGTTACAAGTTTTGAAAGAAAGATTGTGTAAGTAGTTGAAAGTATGCCAAAAGAATGGCTTGTTATTAAAGTTCTACTCTTACTTCTGACTGGACTTCTTTATTTCATTTTTGATAAATTAAGAGGCTACGAATTTAATTATGCTATAGTATCATTGAGACCACGATTAAGACTAATCGATAAATTTAAAGAATAACAGTATGCACAAAGCATGCTAATTCAAAGCATTAAAGAAATAAATGGGTATATAAAGAGTGCATACAAATGTAAGGTATAAGAATTATCTAAATTAATTGAAAGCATTCAATCTTAACTTGGGGATTTAATTCAATGAAAAGAGATTCAGTGCATGACAATAACGTGGATTCAGCTTCTTCTTTCTTTAAAATATATTCGTGTTCTAAAAAAGGTGGGCTTACCCAGCAAATTGCACTGAGTTTCTTTTTTTAAAAAAATTAATACGAAATGAAGTTAGAGTTTTGGCAATTATTTCAGTTTCTCGTGCATCTATTAATTATTTTGTTCAAATTAATGGTAAATAAAAGAATTTCTGCAAGTAATTTTAAATGAATGCTTTGTTATTACTTGAACATCAAACACGTATAATATTCACTGCAATAAAATAAAATTTTAATGCTAAATATATTAGTAAAATCTTAAAGCAATATTTCAGACTTCTATAGTGCTAACTATTTGTTAAATGATTCAATATAGGAAGTATCAAACTTATGAAAAGTAAATAATAATTTACTAGAACCATTTTAAAGTATATATGTATACTAGAAAGCCCGGCGGTCATACGAAATGACCTCTGTTCTAGATATTATAAATTGTAATTAAAATTATTTGTGCAAAGGTGTCTACTAATTCAAACTGAATTAACCCAGGGCAGGTGGCGAGGACACCCCTTTGCTTACTGCCCCACGGGGTTTCCCCCTTCAACTTCCTTTAATTGCTTAAAGTAGAGTGCAATGAAGGAAACCACTTGCAGGACATTTCTTAAGAGACCACTGCTAGCTCAATAAATAAAGGTGATTTGAATAATAAAATGTTAAATTCACGTGTAAAGATGTCTTTGTACACAACATTTCTTGCGTAGATCTTTCCATCGTTTTTAAGCTCGCCTCGCAAAGGACCACCAATTATTTTTAATTTTGCGTCCGTTCTTTCACGAACTCTTGAACAGGCAATATAATATTGGCCGTGTCCAAATGCAGGCTCAGGAAAAAAATGCCAACACGCTTAAGCGTTTGGCCTTGAGACTTATTGATGGTCTTAGCAACGGCAAGTTTTACAGGAAATTGTCTACGTCTCAATTGAAAGGGCAGCCCTGTGCCGTGGCAACTTCACCCTATTGGCTAGTACAGTTACGCAAGCAACCAATAAACTATCGGCGACAAATAGACACTTAAGCCGCATATATACATGGGGTGAAGTAACATTATCTCCTCCGAAACGGCTGACTCCCGGGCTTAGCGAAGCACACTGTTGAATTCCGCAGGTCCGAGGCGCGCCATTTTGACCATTCACGTCTTCTTGGGACTTTAATTAGGGGATATAGTAATTAAAAACTAATTTTTCCCTACGTTTTCCATTTTCTTTCTTGGGTTTTCCCTATTAAAGGGATTTGGCTACGTGTCAAATTCTTTTTTCTCGAATATCTACGGAACGGCGCCGAATTGAAATTCGAGACACGCATCCTCGGATTCCAAAAAATTCTCCGAATCCATCGATACCGTTCTCATCTTCGTACGACTTTAATCAGCCGAGATATTAATTAAAAACTTTGGAAACGTTAATTTCTGCGCTCATTTTTCCAAGTGGCAACAGTAAACTATCCGCGACACACATTTTAGCCGCTTATTTATATAAAGATGCATGATAAGAGAAGCCTTTATTTTCAAAACTTGATTGCAGGAAATAATTTGCATTATATTCAATGAAAAAGATTCACATAGCTTTAGTATTTGAGTTATAATTCAGCTTAAAATAGCTTGTCTTAGTTAAATAGATAATTTTTTTTTCGGAGCGTTGGTCAATTAATTTCGTGCAAACAAATTCTTTCAACTCGTTGATTCCTATTAAAATTACATAAGAATTTTACGCTGTTGAGCCGATTAAGGTGAAACTTTCTAAGGTTGTCTTCATGAGAGATGCTTTTGTGGAGAATTACCTAAAGTTAATTAAGTCGATTTCATGCTACACACAGAAAAAACCATGAATCAGTCCCTCGTTTTGAATTAAACTTACAAGGAAGGATTTCCAACATTCAACATAATTTGTCTCGCAAAGATATAAATGAATTAAATAATCTAGAAATATATAATAGGAAAAACATTAGCTTCTGATTTTCCGTAGGTAATCGAAACACATTAAATATGAGAGTTTGGTTCCTAATAGCGAATTTTTTCAAAGTCTGAGTTTTAAAATTTCCTTACTTCTTCAAAACAGAGGTTTATTGCCAAATAAAGCTAGATTTGCATATTTTCGTACTCCTATTTACATGGATTTAGCTTCCAGTTTTTAAAGTTATGTGTTTCTAAATGAACAAAAACATAAGACTTTTCCTGAGGTTTTTTCTTTTTAATTTTATTTTCAATAATTTCAATGTTTTATCGATAAACACCTCCTTTGTTTTTCCTCAACACTGCAGTCTACACTTTCTTGAACTTGAAACTGATTCGGGGTGAGGGGAAGAATGCAACTTGCATACTCAAATACATGCTCAAAGCAAAAGATATTAAGTTAAAATTAACTGCTAAGATTAACTTAATATCTTTTGCTTTGAGCATGTATTTGAGTATGCAAATTGCATTCCTATAGATGAAATAAAAAAATAAAGAAGAAAAAGACAAAGATATTAATCATCAAAGGTAAACTTTCAAGATTATCCCGCTCTTTATGAATTTTTTCTTTCGATAAGCTTGAATCAAGAAAATACTCATACGAAGTCTCACTCTGCAAAACATTCAGTCTGCCATTTGAAGTAAATGAAAATCAAACTCTTTATGCTAAAACTCTTTACGAAGAGAATGGAATCACATTTTTTACCAAACTCTTAAATTAAAATATATATATTTAAATACAAGAAGCTATCCTATTTTTGTAAATATTTATATTTTTGTGAGCTGCAAATAACTTTATTTAACTTGAAACTATCAGACTTCACCCATGCGGCTATTAAACCCAAATTCTTGATTTCTGAGAGTTCTATGTGGTAATAGCTGAAATCCTCTCTTTATCAAATGAAAAATATGATTCTGGAAAGGAATCAAATAACACAATTGAAAGTAAATTCACGCACACTTCATCAAATAATAAATAAAAAAAATAAATAAAAAAATAAACACCAAAGTCTCACTCATATAATTAAGACACAATAACACGCCGAACAAATAACAATTTAGAAGTCAAACAACAAAAATCAGCGTTATATTTTCAAAATTTTCACAGGACTAGTTTCGATGGTTTTACCGAACCACCATCCTTAGCTGCAAAACCGCAAATGAACAAGATAGGAAATAATGAGAAAGCCTGGACAAGAATAAGCTAGTGGCGCCCTCTGTTGATGAAACCAGAACTAAAACATAATTTCTTTAAAGGCCGAAGGCAAAGATGGATTGGAATATAGGATCGTTAACTAGAACAGAAAGATTTTTTTTTAATGTGAAAAATCTATCCATCGAAACTAGTCCTGTGAAAATTTTGAAAATAGTTATATTTTTGTTGTTTGACTTCTGAATTCTCACTCATATATCAGGTGTTATGAGGAAGGCACAGTAAAATTCTAGCATAGTATTAAAAAAAAAAAAAAAAAAAAAAAGACAATGCACCTCTCAATGTGTCCAAATTAAACTTAGGCAGCTGAAAAAAGTGCAAGATTTTATTGTAAAAAAAGAGCTTCAAAACTTCGATAGTCAGAAAAAAAAGGCTAGGAGCTTTTTAAGGAAAACTGGCTCCTCTTAACTTTAACTCCTATTTAACTATTAACTAGCACTGAGATAATCCGTTTAATGGCATTTGAACGCACGGCAAACTACCTGAATTCAGCTGCTTTTGCCATTCCGCTAGTAATCTTCCATTTCAGAGCTTGCTAATTGATCTTAGTTCTTTGATTGCGGCTGGTTAACTACTTTGGTTATTTTTTCTGTACCTATTCTATGCTAGATATTCAATTTGAAGTCAGCACATTTATTGCTAAGCAGAAAGGTATATGTATCGAGCTAAAAAAGCTTGAAGCATAAATTCAGAAAGATTTCTGACTTTATTATAGTTTAGCCTAAAATGTTCGTCAGTTTTCGTTACCAGTTCGTTTTAAGTTACTATGTGTTCACAACTAGATTATTCGTCTTTCGTTTTTTACCTCTTCATTTACCATTTTATGTTTTCGCTGCTTGGTGACTTGATGAAATTTCAAAACTGCGTTTTTAAAATTTGGTTAAGTCACTAAATAGCGTTCTATCACTAAATCTTGTTAATGTTTTGCTATTTTTAACTGCCTTTCAGTTAAATATCAGTTACTAATTTTTTTCATTGTTTCAGCTAAATTTGGTATGTATTTCTTATAATTTGTAAAGGAAAACTTTAGAATTCATAAATCAGATCGAAATTTAAAATACAAAATACCTATGCAAAAAAAATGACATGAGTGTTTTAAGTTTCAGTTTTTAAAAAAATGCATGTAGAAATCTAAAAAAAAAAAGTATTTATTTATTTTTCAAAATGTGTATTTCGGAAACGATGGCTTCCGATTTAAAGTTTTAAACTTCGAAAAAATATATGATGCTTCGAAGACAACTGACATGCACTGCATGAGGCTACTTATAGCGAGGATCATCGCGTTCATTGCAAACAGGATTCATCTTCATCCTGTTTGCATCCAAAGATTCTTTGGACCATGTTATACAACCATTACCATGATAAAAATATTTTTAAGACAGTATCTTATATAGTCACGCACAGATAGAGGTTAAAACGAGTATAGGTTATTAGATTGCAAATTATTATACGAGAAATTTTTTCTAAAAACATGTTCTCGCCAAATCGTTTTCTGGGGCCAACCGAAAATATTTTAATATAGTTACGTAAG